GGAGTCTATTTTCATTTAGCCCTTGGTGAAAAACTAAATTCCAACCATTTCTTGTACTGTTAAAGTATTGATTTTCGTATTATTAGTCCAATTATTATTATGTAAGTAAATGAAACAAGATTTTATCATCCAGAAATTAACCGTAGAAAAAATGCAATCTTAATGTTGAGTTTTTGTTCAGTCTCAAAAAACTGTAATATAAAATGTGAAGTTAACGCACCATATGTGAATTTAATGTAGTTAATATGGAGTTCAGAGATTACGGAAGATCTCCTTTAATCTATCCGGGTAGTTTACCTCAATATATCTTCACCGTTGATATGTTGACCAGATTAACTTGAAAAGATGAGAAGACAAGAAGTATTGATTTTCCCAATTGCTTTAGTTGCTGGTGTTCACAAAGTTCTATGTAAGATTAGATCCGAATTCACAGCACTGGGCTAAATTACGATAGATTACAACTAAATATAATAAATAAATCAACTCAAAAGACATTAGCAAATACATTAAGGACTTAGGGATTATTTTGGAGTATCGGGCTTTTTCTCCAGAAACCCACTACAGATCTGACATGAAACAAATCTGCCCATCTATCTCGTGACCTTGACGAAATCTGTAGGTGGCCTTAATATTTAGATCTAACCTTTGTATACAGAATCCAACTGTTTAAATTCTGGAATCACGGAAGACTAAAAAAAAAGAAACGAAATAAAAAGCCAAGTGAAATGAAATGAAAGTGTTCTGTATCAACCTGGATTATGAAGACAGACATACCACATACATTGTACTTTGAGGCCAACTGTGTCCGGACATTTCATCTATGAATGGTTCTTTTACGTGCACGCCAATGTGTAAACGGAACATCAGTTATTATTATCACTCTAACCACATGTACAAAGAAACCGCGTTGCAAAATCCTAGGAAATGTTCTCGGTCAAAACCGGAATCGAACCACGGACTTCATGCGAACCAGTGCCTTACTAGTTTAGCACCCGTGGCTCCAACAGCATTAAGACTTTTTTAGACTAATTATATTTGCGTTGCAAGCTTATGAATAAACCATTCGAGTTGTCATACTGAGAAAAATAGTGGACACTCAATCTTTCGATTTCTGGGGTGTTTCTTTTAGCACAGAACATAAATTTCGTGGAAACAGATTTGAAGTGTCTTGTTAATGTCCTACCATCGATGCATTTCAGATTAATTTGTATCGATTTCATTCCGTCGTCAGTGTGCGCGTTTGAAATTTAGATTTTGGAATATATTGACTTTGTATATGCTAAAATCTGTAGTCTGTAGGCCTACTAATAACATATCCTCAGCACAAAAAAACACGGATGGTGTACAGTGTCATTTATTCATGAGGAGGGAGATGAAATGTGAAGTTAGCAATACACAAAAGTATTTAACATAACACTATTATTTAAAATAACATATCCAACTAAATTACAAAGATAAGGTCATATTTCAGTTTTAAACTTTGGTTTTCTAAACAAAATAAGGAGTGAATGATTTACATAATATAACTCATTTCCCTTTTACCACTATGATCAATCCAAGACTCAAAATGACCGAGAACTTGTTTATAGTTTGTGGTTTTGAATTTAGACCAACCGCTCTAAAGAAGCCACAATTATTAGTAAATATTTTCGAAATTTATGTGTTATCTATTTTTTTTGCCCATCTTAATTCTTATTGGACGGCACCAATATATTTTCAACCATCAGTTCCAGGGTTCGAACCCGTTGCTATAAATTAATGTATAGACGTATTCGATTGTTTTATGAATTTACATTGATTTTCGATAATAACTTCAAATACATATAAGCGGATTACCCTTTGAAATATCATTACACTAATCAGAGTAAAAAAAACAATAATGGAATTCATAGTCATTGACCAATATAGACTACTATTTTTAGCAGGTGTGCAAAAGATTTGGCGAGCGTGTGTTAGAGTGCTCTTTCTCATTGAATCTGAATCATCTGTTATTGTTTTTTTAATTTTTTTTTTAAACCCTCAAAATGAAAATAATACGAAATGTTATTTCATTGCATGTATGCTTGCAAACACGAGAAATGAAATTCTCCCGCCGAATGTGAATATTCATATAAATAAAAATTAGTGTTGTATTTGCGTAATGCCCAGTAAGATATCTAGAATATCACAGCACTGCGATTTCTTGGTCGTACCTGAACATTACCGATTGTCTAGTTCAGGGGAGAGAACCTCACCGTGAATCGTAAACGGGTTGTCTTGTTAATCACTGTATCCACTATACATTTACGTATCAGATAAATGTTGAAAGTTGGAGCATTACCGGATAATATATTGTGTTTATATACACCCACATTAATAATCAAAATATATTCAAATAACAATTGATACAACAACACTAATACAAAACACCATTTTTATCATCTTGAATGTTTATTGTGGTCAAGTGAAGGAACGTCATATCACATTTACATGCCTTTTTTCAAACATATTTCAAGCATCGGTAACAGGACGTCACATTTTTCAACTTAGAATATTTTCTACATTTTTTGTGAAAACGTTGCATTGATTTTATATGTAATACAACTTAGATATCCGATTTGCATAATACATCTAAAAAACAGTACCTTCTAAATACAAAATGATAAATTAATTCAGCGGGACGTTAAACCCCAAAAGTCCACCAATACTGTTGAGAGGGCCCCAAATAAGATATCTTATCTTGTATAACCTTGTTCCAAATAAATCTATCTATCTACCGTACTGACACAAAAAATTACATTTCCGAGAGTGTGACGGACAATGACCAGAATAGGTTCCTTTCGCGTTTGATGCAATGGCCCCGGTAATTTTTTCAGACATGTGGTCCCATGCAACATTAATCCGGCCCTGGGCATGAGTGTGTCTTTTGATAAGATGTGCGGTTTTCATTATGTTGATCAGGACATCACATTAGGTGTATCGAATGTATATGCAGATACCAGTAGATTTGATTTTATCTTTGACGTAAATTCAGATGCACACACAAATTGTCCTTATGTAAAGCAATTGCCATTCATCATCCTGGGGCCCCTTTTACACCGTGTTTAACAGCATACTAGTTGACATGGATTGAGATGAATGTTAAACAAGGTACAAGGAAGGTCCGTGCTGTTCTTTGAAACTTTATACAAACATTGTTTATTGTTTAAAGTAGAAATTCCACCGATATAAAATTAGTTTCTTTGATATTACTAAATGAAATAATTTTATGGAGACAAATCACACATTATTTAACAAGTAATTTAAAAATCAAGGAAGACACAAACGTGTCGGGTGCGGGATATTTACAAGACGGGTATTACTATTTATAACTATCTATGTTTGTAACACCGCCCGCGGCGAAACAAATGTACACGAATACATTTATTTTATCATGAATAATAAGTCAAGTTATTAAACCTGCCAATGCATGTCTACTTTAAAGGGGCATTATTATATCACAGTTACGATAAAAATATTCTATTTTAAATTATATAATATCTTACATAATACCGATTTATCGAAAATCGTAGCATTGATTTACTAAATATAATGATATCTGTACAACAAAGAAACTAAAAGCATGAGCGTCATTAGATAGATCGCAAATATAAAACAATGATTACCCACCCCACCTGCACCCATCACCCCACCTGCACCCTTCACTCTCTTAAGTATTTTTAGTTTGTTTATGTTGTTTTTGTAGTATTATTATATATTTCACATTTTGAGGCCTGTAAAATATTTGCAATATAATACCAAGGATTATAAATGACAATGCTATTCTCAATTTAATAGAAAGAACACAATCGTGCGATCTTTATTTACATGTATTTAAAATCGTGAAACCACTTTAAAAAATTGTTCCCTCTTATGACTTTAATTGGTGTTTTCTGGTCATTATATATTTAAAATCGTGAAACTGCAAATATAAACTTTCCTCTTGTAATTTTAATTGGTGTCTATGTCGAGTCATATTTATCTAATTGTATTTGGCGTATATGTAAAGGATGTTGTAATATTTGGATTTGACCAATGCGATTGTTGTCTATTGATTGAAACGTCTCAATGGGTTTGTCTTGTGTAAATATTTATGTGTGGCGCAGTCCTCCTGCACTTGATAATATATAGAAATACTGAACAATGACTACCACCTGATCTGTTGCTTTCGAGTACAAAAATTGTGTCCATAGGCTGTAATAAAATGAGCATATGCATGAGATAATACTTTTCTTATAAGTGAAACGAAATGAATTGGGGTTTAACGTCTTACTTACGGGGATATGTCATGCTAGCTTACTCTTATATCGAATTCTGTCAAGGGTTCTTTTACGTGCACGTCAATGTGTACACGGGGCCTCTGTTGTTCGTCCCACCGTAACGACTAGATATCTGTCCTTGTAAGCCCCCCCACCCGTCCTGCACCAATGACAAGGGGAAACCTCGCCGGATAAGCCGGAGGAATTTTCTCGGCCAACACATGGAGCCAACCCGAGATCCCAAGGATAGCGAGAATTACTCTTACCCACTAAGCCACCACGGCTTAAACGCCTGCATTTAAGTTTTGATTTTCGAATGGTTAATGGGATTTTTCAAAATAGTAGTCCCCAAGGAGATTTGTGAGAATTTGAAAGATAAACCTCATAATATGTTTGCGAACTACTATATATATGATATTATAAACCTTCACCGATATCTAAAAGAAAAAAACCCCAACCATTTCACACTCTCAAAATCATCGTCTAAAAATTCGTATTTTACATACCACCCAAAATAACTTAAGTTTGTAAATTTTGTAATGAGTTGAGAACTAAAGGTGCCATCCCCTACACGTTTTAAAAAATTGTATTTTTCTTCCTGGTTAGAATGAAATCAGCATACAAAAATTATATAAAACCTGTTTTATAGGTATATATACGTTTTATTGCGGTTGTATTGCTCTATTTACTTTACTTACTGCTGAGGAAAACCAGGCCATGTTAATTTACTTCCTTGTTGAACACAAAATCTTATTTACGTTAAGATGGCGACGATAATAGGTCTTCTTGGAATATGGCTAATCCTCACTTCATCAATATATTGTAAGTTATTTTATGCATATAAAATTATAGACTGTATAGCTAATATCGGGGATTAACAACAGATATGTTTCTAACTGAACACGCTGACACGTTCAGATTTTGCCTGCCATTTATCACTAAACTGACAGAAAGATCTGGGCAATCTGTGAACAGTCGTCTAACATTAAGGCGAGTTGCTAAATCAAAACATAAAGAGCTACTACACAGGGACCTATTCAAAATATGAGGTATGGTGTACTATTCATTTGTATGGTGTACCATTCGTCCACACGTAGACAGGCCAGTTTATTAACATACTCTGGCTAGAAAGTTCTTAGATAAGAATCTGACGTGGATGATACTGTAATACAACGTTCTATATAATTTTAATTTTTAAAGAATTATCATGTTTCACAAAATAAAATTTGTGTGCATGTACCTGTAAAAACGGATTATAAACAATTTGGAGAATATGCGATATATCCCGTTTAATTGGAATACGGACAAAAGAAGCATGGTCCTAGACAGGAATCGATCTAGCCAAATACATGTAGAATGCATCCTTGGTATCCCCAGTGGTCTCATTCCGTTCTACTCCACTAACCCCTGGATTAATATATGTGGGGAAGGGAGGGGCACGTTTTCAAGTTATCCGCCCTTTTTTTCGACCAATCCCATAAATCGTTAATTGCAAAGGAAGTTGGCGAAGGGAGGTAACTCTCGTCGGGTAAAGCAAGCAAAATGCAAAGGCTCCCCTTCAAGAGACAAGATTAGGAATTAGCCAGAAGGTAGCTTAAATAGGAGAAATCCAAATCGTACTAAATGCATATTTATTAACAACAAATTACAATTATTTTATAATGAAGACCGGACAGGTGTTTATATATATATATATATATGCAGGTTCAAGGCCCTGTTTCACAAAAACTTAAGGTACCAAGCATGGTACGCACACATTTTGCAAGAGATGGATAGAGAACAAGCTAAGAACAAACGGGATTTTTTGTACAATCAGGGGCAATAATCAAGAAAGTTATGGTCTAAAATGCGCAAATATCAAAAGGGACTGAGATCTTTGGGATATAAAGATATGTTTTAAGTTTTATCAAAATCGGATAAAAATTATGACCTCTAGAGGGTCCACAACCTTCGTATTGCATACTTTTACACAATTTGCGTACAATTTGCGGCCATTTTGTCGGACAGTTTTATTTCGATTTTCCCGAAATTCGAATTCAACCTTCATTATGGTGGAATGGTGATGTATTTAAATGTTTTTTAAAATCGGGAAAAAAAATTGTGACTTCTAGAGAATCCGCGAGCTAAAAATGCGATTTTTCGAACAATCAGGTGCCATAATTCAGGAAGTTACGTTAGGATATGTGCGATTATCAAAAGGAACCAAGATCTTAGTGTGTAATTGTTATATATTCACATGTTTTTTTTTAAATCGGATAAAAATTGTGACCTCTACAGGGACTACAAGCTAAAAACGTGATTTTTTGTACAATCAAGGGCCATAATTCAGGAAGTTACAATCCGATACACGGGAATATTAAAAAGAACCAAGATCTTTGGGTTATAAACATTATAAATATGTATTTCAAAATCGGATCAAAATTGTGAGCTCTAGAGGGTCCACAACATTGATATACTAAATGCTATACACTATTTGCGTACTATCCGGCAGTTTTGGCCCGATTTTCACAAAATTCGAACTCCACAAACATAACGGTGTAACGGTGATACATTCGAACGTTTTTGTAAATGGACCCCAAGCTGAAAACGCGAGTTTTAGTACAATCAGGGGCCATAATTCAGGAAGTTACGATCCGATATGCGCGAATATCGAAAGGAACCAAGATCTTTGGGTTATAAAATTGCATTTCAAGTTTCATCAAAATCGGATCAAAATTGTGACCTCTAAAGGGTCTAAAACCTTGATATACCATATGTTTACGCTATTTGAGTACGAGGGGCGGCCAATTCGTCTGTCAGATTTGGTCCGAATTTTACGAAATTCGAATCCAACCACCCTTAGGGTGTAACGGTGATATACTCAAACGGTTTTTTAAATCGGATAAAAATTATGACCTCTATAGGGTCCACAAGCTAAACACGAGATTTTTCGTACAATCAGGGGCCATAATTCAGGATGTTATGGTCCGATATGCGCGAATATCGAAGGAACCGAGATCATTGGGTTATAAACTGACAATTCAAGTTTCAACAAAATCGGATAATAATTGTGACCCCTAGAAGGACCACAAGCTAAAAACGCGATTTTTCGTACAATTCAGGAAGTTACTATTCGATGTGCGCGAATATCGAAAGGAACCAAGATCTTTGGGTTATAAACATGAATTTCAAGTTTCATCAAAATCCGATCAAAATTGTGTCCACAAGCTAACAACGTAATTTTTCGTACAATCAGGGTCCATAATCCATGAAGTTATGGTCCGATACATGCCAATATCGAAAGAAACCGAGATCTTTGGGAGATAGATCTATATTTCAAGTTTCGTCAACATCGTATAAAAATTGTGACCTGTAGAGTATCCACAAACAAATTGTCGACGGACGGACGGACGTCCAGACGGACTGACGGACAGGGGCGACGACAATATACGTCCACATGAAAATGTGGGCGTATAAAAATTAATGTAATAAAATTTTGAATGTACAGAAAAGTTTATCATTTTTAAAGGGAATAACCTTCTGGGGATTCGAAGCTACCTTACAATAATACTTCCGGTTTTCGAAGTTACAATAATACTTCTGGATTTGAGAAAACTGAGTATTCCGACACATTGTAACGACCCCGTATGATGTCGGATTGGACAGAGTACACTGTATGGGAAAAGAGGAGTCTGCCTATACATTAAGACGTAGCTTCGTATAATGACTGATTTATTCTCATAAAGAAGTTATATCGCGCCTCTGTGGCAGTTTGGTTTACAATGAATGACACAGGCAAAATAGTACCTTCAAAACTTTCTAAATCTTCTTCTGGCGTATTGTGACATATTTTGCTACTAAGGAGCACAGACGGGAATTACAGGTCGAAGTTTGAATTAACGTATGCATTTTGCAAGTCGGATGTTTGAAAATGATATAATTATATTTATAAATTTTGTAGGTGATCAGTTTGATTATAATGTAATTTTGGTTATACCAACAGTTTAACCTGCAACTGTTATTATATTTGTAGGTAGACAGTTTGGTTATAACAACAGTTTAACATGTAACTGTAATAATGAAGAAAGTTGTCAAGATTCTGGTATATGTAGTACTGGAGTATGTAAACAAGGATGGTCTGGTCCCACTTGTCAAAAAGGTTTGTATTTGCCATATAGAGTGCAATAACAGGAGTTTGGTTGGTACTCTAATAGAGTCTAATAAATAACATATCGAGGAAATGAAAGAAAACGCACTATAGACTGGGGGTACTGGCGAGACATTATGCAAGTGAAGTGGCACGATTGTTGGCATGATTGTAGGCGGGGCAATTACCGAAAACAGAAAAAAAACAACAACCTCTATCAGTCAAATACGTCATATAACGCCGTCTAATGGAGGACAGAGGCCACTGCATGACTTCTTTGCCGGGACTGTTTGACTGCAGTATACGCATGACCCTTTGAATTGATGCACTGTTCAGGTGTCGTCATTTGCATGTCCGTACGTCTTCCACAGAGTTATGCTTTCAGAACTGCAGCTTTAAAGTTTACCCCTCAAACGCGATAATACAATCCCTCATTTATAAAAGTGATGCATTTCCACTGCGTCTCATTAAATACCTAATATATGTTTACCTTTTAGTGACAAGTTACACGCTAACTGTTTGACAACTTTTGGTTTTAGAGATCATTAGAAAAGAATAGTTGTAATGAACATCATCTTGAAATTGTTGTGTTGCCGTCAGTGTTTAAGAGAGTGCGTTGGGCCCGGCTTTGTTTTTGTTATTTTATTTCTCTATATTGTGCTTATTCCAAAAGAAACCATATGCTTATAATTTCAGAGGGGATTGGGGTTCTATTTTGTATTTAAATTATTAATGGTAGTTATTTGCATATACTTTCAGAAAATGTAGCTCTCCATAAACCATCTAAACAGAGTTCTTATTTTAGATCAGACTGGCCATCTTCACGAGGTGTTGATGGGAATATAAATACGTTTATTGATATGAACTCATCTAAACAAGGCTGGTGGTTTGTAAATTTACTACAAAATTATCCCATCACAGACATCACGTTATATAACAGACCTGGATGTAAGTAAACATTTGTTATTATTATATATAAAATAAAATTTATGCTATCATAGATATCTCGTTATATCACAGACCTAGGCGTAAGTATATATTTTTTTATAATTATATATAAAATAATAAAATTAAATACATATGACGTTGCATCACAGACCTGGGTGTAGTATGCATTTTGTTAAATGAAATCAAAATCCGGCTAGTTCATCAATTCCGATGTCTATTTATATGTCAAAAGTACAACAGACTGCACAAGAAAGTGTGTAAGTCATACAGATGTGTAGATACATAGAATCAGGCCATGGTTTAGTAGACCTACAATAAATAGTGAGGCATTTGAACCCCCTATTGCAAAAATTGACCCAACTCTTTGTGAACAGCAAGGAAGCAGTAGGGCGATACCAATAATGTCAGCTGACAAACATGAGCTTTTGGTACCATTTGAGAGGTAGTAAGTATATATTTAGGTAGTAAACACCACATCTGCAACACAATTAATCACACGGCGTTCGCATCCAAAACGTCCGTAATGGTTTGCAGAAAATCAAAATTATTTCAGCGCCCGGGGCAAGACATCCTGCCCGAACGTTATCTAATTTGTTGGCGAGACAAATGGAGGCGTCGTTCTATCGACGCGCCAGCTAATATTATGCCCTTTGCAATTAAACGATGTTTTACCACAATTTATCATGCCGACTATGGTTACCGGGTATAGTGGCTGAAATTCACTACGATACGATGGTGCTGTTTCAGTTCGTAAAGTATTGTGTTGCTGCCTTGGTGTTCGTTTATGCGGCTGAATAATGTCAGACATGATGAATATAATTTAATAAACAGCTAATTACACAAAGAAAAGCACACATTTGATTGTGTTTTATGGGGTTTTCTTGTTAGTCCTACACGCGAGTATGATGAACATTATCATATTGTAGCCGAAATAGCATTAATTTAAGCATGCATATCCATGTGACTGAACCGCTAGTATCAAGAAGACTTTGTTTAATATACCAGACAGTTAAAATGATTAAGTTTGTGGTGTTTTATAATTAAACGTGGTCATTTGCTTACCACATCTAACGTGTAACACTATCTCTGCTACGCATTTTTTGTCATGGCCACGAATTGTCTAGGTATGACTAACGTGTATACTAGGAAAGCCCAGAAGGCTCATTCCAAATTCCAAATTCCGAATGCGAACTTCCAAATTCCAAATGCGAAATTCCAAATTCCAAATGCAAAATTCCAAATTCTAAATGCGAAATTCCAAATCCCAAATTCCAAATTCATGTCTTGCCGATAAAATAGCAAATTGGCAGCCCCCCTCAATTAAACAAATTAGAATTTATATAAATTGTAATTTTACACAACTAATTACTTCTAGTTTACCTCTCTGGGCCGGATAAATACCCGTTCCAAATTACTAGATTCCAAATTCCAAATCCCAGATTCCAGATTCCAAATTCCAGATTCCAAATTCCAAATGCGAAATTCCAAATTCCAAATTCCAAATCTGACTCGACCAGTCGGATCAGGTTTTTGCTTTTGACTAATCAGTTAGAGTATAACAATATTCCAGTTCGGGTTTGCTTCGGCAGATGAGAACAGTTTGGGGCAAAGTTCCCCTGCAGTGAGCTACTCTGCTAATCGGTATCCTAGGACTGGCATATTTTTTTTTTTTTGCTACAGCAAATTTGGAATTTGTAATTAGGAATTTGTAATTAGGAATTTGTAATTAGGAATATGGAATCTGAAATTTGGAATTTGGAATTTGGAATGAGCCTTCTGGGCTTTCGTAGTATAATGCTACTGTTCTCAAGGTTTGGGCTTCAGCATGACTTTACGTTGATTTCAAATACAAAACTCAGGAGTACACTCTTTAATTGCGTAGTTTATAAAAAATACATAATCGCAAACATAAGTCTTATGAACTCAAAAATAAAATGCCGTTCGGACTCTTTTAACCCGTTCTCACCAGAAGGGTAACTTCTGAAACCGCTACATACTGTCCATCTAGGAAGATCGAATGGTCGTGGGATTTATAAACGTGCAACTCTCTTTTGAAAGGCTAATAGGTTCTCAACCGGGAATACGTCACTAAATACCAATTACTTAATTGATTAACTCTATGCAAGAAATATGCATGGTATATAATATGGAGAGGGAGAGAAACTGGTCAACCATAGTACTAAATACAGAGATGGGCATGCACATTTTCTTGCGAATTAGCTGAAATTATTTCCTAATTTGGACAGCTAGCTCTGACATCATTTCTAGTAAATTCCCACTTTGTTTATTCAACGCGCATATAATATCAGTTTCAAAACAAGGGGAAATAGTATTATTTGATAAACAAAAGAGGCAGTCGCAGTATTTGCCAATCTCTGTACTCTGTTAAAAGTTGAATCTTTTTGATTACTCAATGTATTATCATATTTCTTTTTGACCTATCTCATATTCTCATAATACTTGTTTACGAGTTTGAAACCAATATCAATGGGCTGTGGTCAAAATATTGCTGCAACAGCAAGAAACATAAAAAAAATACCAAGGCTATGTACGCGGTCTTGCGATCCAATGCGACTGTGAAAACTGCCACCTGCAGTTAGCAGTTATTAGCACACGTTCCTCTTTCATGCGATCGGTTGCAACTAGTTCAGCGGGAATGTTTAGGCATTCGGTGCATTTCGTAGTTACAAGCAGTTGCGTGTAATTGCAACTAAACGTGCTCAGGCGATATAAGCCGTCAGCATTTCGAGGTGCAAACAATCGCATCGGATCGCAAGGCCGGCATAAGCAGGGCTTAACTTATAATATTCTTTTTTTGCTACTTCAGACCTTTTCAGATTACAAGGATTTTATGTATATATTATTGAGGAAGATCTGGTATCAACTTTATATTATCATCATACCAATGAACCTTTAACAGTTGAATATAAGATACGATGTAACAGTACCTTTAACACTTGTATATAATATACGATGTAACACTACTGGACGTTATGTTAATATAACTAGTACTATATGTTTTGTTTTGTTACTTCAGTTTTACAAAGATTAAGAGGGTTTTATATACAAATTCTTGATGAAGATCTGGTATCATCTTTATGTTATCATCATACCAATGAACCTTTAACACTTGTATATAAGATACGATGTAACAGTACTGGTTATTATGTTGTTATAAGAAGTGCTAACAACCCAGAGTATCCTACAGATCGTAATCCTAATGGAATATTAAACTTAAGTGAAGTGGAAATATATGGTAAATATATCTTAGTCAATTGCAATAAAGTATGTTTTATTATCTATTAGTAAATCGCTCAGAATTATGGTTTCCAAGGCTGAAATATTGGTACTGAATAATCTTCGGGAGACGGTTATAATAATTCAATTTTAAAATAACAACCAATATCTCTGTAATTATATTTTGTAAGCATACTTATAACAATATATTTAACGAATTTCTTCTAGTTATCTAAAAATGATTAATCTAGATAAACGCTAAATTATCCAAATAATTCTCTTTTACAATATTTATGGTGGTATAAATATTGGTTTCAGTCTGTTCAGTTGGTACATACGGTCCACACTGTGCGAATGTCTGCCATTGTTCTCAGTACACACGATGTGATGACATTACCGGATATTGTAAAGATGGGTGCTTACCAGGATGGCATGGTAACAGCTGTAATCAAAGTAAGAAAAAGGCATGCACATTATAGAACGGAAAATTGTTTAACATCCTGTTATTAAACTAGTCTCTGTCACCCAGAACCCCCTAGTCTTCAACGTACGGAAGGTCTGGGTCCGTTAACAACATTAGCTAAAAAGTTTCATTGCCCATGCGGAACTGGAATTGCGCATTATTATAAACAAATATGAATCGTGACAACGAATTAGGATTAATAAATAAAAAAACATCGGTATGGTCCATGAAGAGATAAATTTTAATATAAGAGTGTTGGATATTGAACTGGTAAAGCAAATAGATTTTCTGAAATTGCAATTCTTAAATTAATTTCATGGGCGTCGACATCCTGTTTTCTGGTTAGCTACCTCTCTTAGATTTTGTTCATGATAATGTAAAAGAAGGATAATCCAGCCAATGATTTAGTTGTTCTCAGATGTTCTCAACCCATCCAGACTAATAACAGCAGAATATTTTTCTACAGGATAGATACTATAAAAAAAAGATACCCATTAAACTAAATGTCAAATAAATTGATACTTATAGTTTTGAAGTTGAAAGTAATACTATCTGACCTTATATACAGTTAAAATACTTTTCAATATGTCTTCTATGCATTCGTTCGTGTGGTTTTACGCCTGTTTCTACCTTGGGTAATATCGCAAGACAAGTGTTTCCTAAGAAAATTGTCAAAAAAGCCACATAATAGGCTAGTCTAGCTTGGGAGGGAGACATGAGATTGATTAGAAGGCCTGTTCGATCTCGTTTCCTTAATAAAGACACAATGCCTTTTGTCTGGTAGCGTCCAAGGTAAAATTTCACCCAAAGGAATTTCTCTGGGTATTGCAAATAAAAGGCGAGCATGCACAGTCTGGCTCACGTTGCCATTAATGCTATGATCTTGCCTTGGGCTAGGTTTAAAATGATGAAAGCAAACATTCATCGGGCCAGGCGTAGTCGTGCTATTGACCTTATCAGATACAACAAGGCCCCACCAGGACACCCGACATTCCTTCACGTAGGTATGTCCTACTAGCTGAAGCCCTCTGGATGATCACTTATGGATCCCATCCGTTGAGTCTTGGGGTAAACCTCAAGTCGTCACAGTAGAACACTCTTCTTGAACACCCCCCCCCCCCCACCCGGGGTTCAAACTACAATGTCTTGAATACGAATCTCATAATCTCGTGTCTGCTTACCCTAGAATAGAGTAGATTCGGAACACTGAAAGCCGTGGGAATGGAACTCAGTTTATCCGTAGGCGGTTTCCTTAATTTCGACTGTGAAGCGATCACAGTCTACTAGAATATGTGCTGGGGATACGTCCGTGCCGCTACTACACCCCATAGACTTAAAAGTACGATGTGTGAGTGTTATTTTCACCTTCAGCTTTGTTATTAATAACAGACGCCACCCCAGTCTGACTGGGACATAACCGGCAAGTTTCCCCATTCAGAGTTGATGCGCAGCCCGGTGTCTTCTGTATTGTTCTATAGCCGTGAGTAATACTACCGGTACCTGACACTGTGTCCAGTTCAAACTTTCCAATGTGTCTTATTATTTTATAGCTGAAAGCAGTACTACGTGATACAATATATTTTTAATTATTCTATACCTGATGTCATACTTTTGAATATGCCTTTTTAATTATTCTATAGCTGAAAGTAGTACTAACTTACACTATACAATAGTTCAAACTTTCCAGGATGTTTGATGGATGCCTTTTAATTATTTAAGTGATTCATTCCTGTAATGTACTATGTACATGTTCCGACTTGGGCATTGTTTTTATGGCATAGGGTGATAATTTATAATAAATACTTTCGGAAATACATATTGTATCCTTGTAAATTTCTATACTGAAAGGTTGTTCTGATATGAACAGCTATGGTGATCGCTGTAAATATAATTGTGATGACAGAAAATGTAATGGAAAATCAGATTGTGATCATGTGACTGGAACATGTTTATATGGTTGTCAAGATGGATGGGAGAGTCAAGATTGTGCAAAAAGTAAAGATATTTTTTTTATATCCGATGTATTCATTAACAAGACAATTTTCTACGAAATTATTTGGTGTAAGATATTTTGAGTTTTTAAAATGACTAAATTGTGGATATATTTGAAGAAATCAAACTATATAGATTTATAACTTGCTTAGACAGCTCCATCTCGTTCTTTGTTTTGAAGGTTATATCTCTTAGTATCTGATTAGTCTGTCCATCTGTTTTAGTGTGTTCACAAGGAAATTATGGTGAAAGATGTCGACAACTGTGTTCGGACAGAGGCTGCAAAGCAGGTGATTCAACTTGTGATCATGTGAACGGAACTTGTGTTGGTGGTTGTAAGGCTGGGTGGAGATCACACGATTGTACTCTAGGTAATAAATCATTTTGTTTTCCTGCTGGAAATATTCAAAACAATTTCTACGTGGATTAAGTCGTAAAGAATTTAATATTTTCTGAAAAAATAAAAATAACACACGGGCACTTTGTCGGATAATATCTCAAGGCACAAACCAATAAAGCTTAAAATCTGTATTTTCAGCAGCAATATAAAACATCCAGTCACCAGATTTTTGCTAATCGTTTTCAATAACCTGCATGCCCCTTCTTTACCCATTATATTAACAGATACCATAATACAATTTCTATTTCGTTTGGAAAGCAGATGTTTTTCAGTGCGGCAACGTCAGAAAAGAATATTAATTTTGCAGATTGTGAAATTGGTTTCTATGGGGAGGGATGTATGTATAAATGTTCAGAACGAAAATGTCTGAATGTTACGTCGTCATCATGTGATCATATTAATGGCGAGTGTGATAAAGGCTGTGAAGAAGGTTATGATGGGATTGATTGTATAGGTTTAGGTAAGCCCATTTAATTTGCCGATACATAAATGGTACGTTTCAATATTTGGTTTCACGACCTTTGTGTTTGCTTTGTTGTTCTGTTTTATTTTTCTGCTTAATAAGATAATATGATAAGCGATTGTGTAATTTCAATAATTCAGTATACTACTCGTACTTTTTTCTGACTAGGAAAGATAGATAGCCGTCGAAAATACAAATCAAAATAGATATAAGACTGAGGTATATTAATATGGATAACTTATGCGTAACACTATTGATCCTGTTGATAGTGGGCCCACATCATTTAGTTCAATGTGCTACTCGATAATCACATGACTTTACGGATTAGGAATATCTACCAAACCGCCCTCCATGTCAATGTTTCAACATGCAAAGACTAATAGATGAGGATATCTGCCCGAACACACTGTGTGGTCATTATTACCATTATATCAATATCGGTACCCCCCCCCCCCCAACAGTGCTGTATTCCGCCCATCACACAGGACATGCCAACGATGAGTTGACATGATCTAGAATTATGAGAGATCTCGATAACGTTTTAGCAATATTACATGCCACTGGCAACATTTATGCAACATGCTATGAATACAAGAAATAATAAATTATGACATCATTATTCATGCAAAATTTTCAAAATTGTCATTCCATCTCGAGGGCAAAATTTAAATAATTGTCAATAAAACACTGCCCATTACACTTAACACATTTCCAGTCCTAATTCTTAAACGTTATAACACATTTCCAGAACACCTAATTAGTGATTGTCTTAATCAAACCTTAATCTTCTATGCCCACCAGTAGCCTCCAGCTTTATTTAACATGCTTGTTATCCCGCGCCGAACGAAGTTAGGGAGGGATATTAAAATGGGTCCCGTCCGCCCGTCAATGCGTCTGTAAGTTCGCCCGTCCGTCCGTCCGTCCCGATTTCGTTTCCGGAGCATATCTCATAAACCGTTCAAGATATCTTTTTGAAACTTTGTGCACACATCAACCTATTATAGTAGTTGTACTATTTAGGAATTTCTGGGATTCATACGTTTTGTGTTTCCATGGAAACAAATTTGACTTAGTTTTTCGTGTACAATTTTGTTTCCGGAGCTTATCTCATAAACCATTCAAGATATCTTCACGATACTGTGATAGTAGTTGTACCTTTTGCTAATTAGGAATTTCTCGGATTTAATCATTTTTGTGTTTCCATGCAAACAATTTCTCTGTTAAATGATTTTTGAATTTTAACTATATATTTGACTTAGTTTTTAGTATATAATTAACTGTTGTGCAAACCTTACAGGAAGTAGCGACCCTGCCTTGCCGAGCTACTGTGATGAAGAGTATGAATCTAGTCCCATTGATATTCCAAGAAGTTGTTTTTCCTTATGCCTTACAAATAAGTGCAATGGCGCGGGATGGTGATGACTAGTCATCTTGTTTAATTAGTTCTTGACATTTCGAATAGACTCAAGCTTATACCAATTTGTAAGCAGGATATCTGAATTGTAATGGTGGTTTTATTTTTGCTCTATAGTTAGAAGAAACAATGGCAAAATGTCACTTCCTGTGGAAATTATAGCTCCAGCTGTTGCAGGTGTTGTTGTACTCATAATCGTTATTGTTGTTGTTGCAACTCTACTAGTACGGTATGTATTGATTTTCAAAGGGTAAAATATAGCCCCACGTACAGGTTATGGAAATGGTAGCGGTTACTCCTGGCTAGTTTCTGATGTTAGCCTTATATAGTGTAAGCAACTATTTTACACGGAGTAACATGAAGGTTCAAAAGCTAATTCTGGCATAATTGTTTTCACGATGTCAAGGTTAATAACTTTGTGACTGAGATCGCAAAACAATCAAGGTTCATTCAAATCAAATGAAACATGAAGCTATTTTTGACGTATTTCTTGGTATATGAAATTCGAACACATCGGACATCGGACGTAGATATAAAGTCACATACCAATAGACCGGCGAATCTGAAATGTATTGTGTTCACAAGCAAGAATATTCAAAAAGTGGATCTGGTGAAACAACAGATGGATTGGGGGACGACAAAACGTCGACATTAAATAAGGGCGTATGGAAACGAAAATATTATTGTTAGTTTGATTTGTAATTAGTAACGCTGTAAAATGACCAATTTGTTTACATTGGAAGGTGTATAATGATCAAATAAAGTCTCGTCGGCAATAAAATGACGGAAAGTGTTAGAACTGGTGAGTATTGTGAGATGATAGCAGACAAATTATCTTCAACGATTCAAAACAATATGGTGGGTGATTGACCTTGTGTTATTAGTAATACTAGTCAAATAGTAGTAAAAAGTTTTATTTTAATCCCTTCATGTGCCTGTGCTTGTAACCATGTAATGAGAGTGTCACTATATTTATTGCAGATTATATAATACTGAAAGTTTTTATATTCATTGTAGACGAAGAGGTAGACGTACCAGTAGTCAAGCCAAGGACGTTGATGGTGTCAATGTAGCGGCTAAAAATCCAAGATTAGCTATTGTTCAGCCAAGAAAACGTCCTCGTGAAAAGGATTATGAAGGTTGATTTTCTTACCTTAGCGTTCGCTGCATGTTATATTAATTCTTTAGGATAATATGAAGTATGTGTTATTAAAAAGGGACTTTTTAATTTGCAATAGAATATAATATATATATAACTTCGAACAAAATTTATGAAAAATAACGTACACAGATAATTGATCGATAGATAATAAAATATTCTTTGGTATTTGAAAAAAAAATAATTATGTTTATTTATTCTATACAGAACACCATGACATACATGTATATGCTACCATAAAATATGAGGAACCAGATTTGTCAGCAAATAAAATAACTAACTTTGATAAAGAGACTGAAGCTGCTACTAGTGTCAACCATTATGAAACAGTATCAATAGACGAAGATGACAAATCTCTAGCGTCAATGGACACATATATTCCAACAGAAGTTCAAACTGAAAGGTCGTCAGATCCACCAATAGAATCAGAAGACTCTAATTATTATAATCTGCTCAATATTAATACCGATCTAAAATTAGATCAATTTGAATCATTCTTCATTAAAACAAAAGATGGCAACGACTTTAAACTTATTTTTTTGGTAAGTCGACTTTTGTATATTATATTCTTTACGTGATAGTTGTTTTTGTTAATTGCGGATTGAGGGTCCTGTTGATAGATATAGAATGAAATATATTTTAGAAAGTCTGAAATTGTTTTATACTGTTATTTCGTACGCGATTTTTGATATTAACTCTTAAAAGCTTGATTTAAATCATACTGTATTATGGTCATTTGCAAATCTTACAAACCTCCACAAATCTTCAAGATAACGTTTGTATACAGCAAGTTCCGGGGGTTAAGTCGTTAGAATTTATAAATTATATCCACATTCAACATTACAATATGATTTTGAAAAAGCTAATTAAGATGACCAATTATTCTGGATTGCATTGACCTATTATAGTAAAAAAAAACATCATTTCGTCACTTTATAATTCCTAATAATATGCTAAAATGTTTCGTATTTTTCGATGGCATCTGTAATGATTATGAAGAGTAAGTCAACACACATATTTATTTCAGTCTTTGCCGAATGATTTTACTGCTAGCTTTGATATATCACAGAAACCTGAAAACAGATCTAAGAACAGATTTCGTGGATATTATCCTTGTGAGTTTTAAACAGACTTATTAAGATTTCATTAACGCAAAATGAGTAAATTTAATAATATTATTCCTAGTAATAATTGTTTTTTTAAACTTACATGTATAAAGTCAATCTGTACAGTGGATTTATACTTTAAAGTGTTAATATTTTATCATCTTCTTTCCGAATATTGTAACAGATGATTACAGTCGAGTTGTCCTCCAGAAATCGAAAACAGATCCACATTCTGATTATATTAATGCCAATTACATTGATGTAAGTATAAAATTCACACAAATAATTATTAAGCATTATTTAAGTAATATTAGTTAGAGTCAATAAATTCAATAATTTTGGCTTTCTTTAAAAAAAAAAAATAATAATTCAATCACCCAATCATAAAGACCATTATATGGAATAATATCATTGGTTTATTATATGGTGTCACGTTTCGGCAAGTGTTTTGTTATCGTTTCAAAGCACATGATATTCCATATAAATGGTATTTCCGTCTTTTCAATCACTACTAAATGCCACCCAAGGATTATAAGCCACGTACAGTAATAATTCAACGTATGGGTTTTATTGCAGGGGTTTAAGAAACCGAAGGCCTATATAGCAGCACAGGGTAAGGATGGCATTATCATATTTTCATGTTTATTTATTAAATGAATACAACACTATGATGTATGTTAATGCTTAATTTCGTCATTTGAAGTCATTGTTGTATAACCGTCTAAACAAATTTATTGAAGCCATCGTCGTTTCAGGTGCTACCAAAGTTACAAAAAACGATTTTGTAAGAATGATATGGGAACAGAAATGTGATAAAGTTATTATGTTGACTACTGTACAAGAACATGGAAAAGTAAGCATTTGCTAGTAAAGCATCATTGGTAATAAAGTACAGGGGATTATTATAAAACTTGAAGATTTGGTATAGATCGCCAATAACTGGTAGATTCTAACTTATACAACAGTTAATATGGGCAAAACAGAACGCCGGATTAAGCTTGCATATACCGTTTAAGAATATGCAAATTATGCACTGGATGAGATTGAAGAAAATAGTGTAATGGTTGAAAATAAGTGAGTTTTCCATAATCCCTACAAGGTTTATATATGTCTGAATTAAGATGCGAGGTATTATTCCATATTTTTTCATATTTTCCATATCTTGTTTATATATATTGTTCATTTCAGATCAAATGTGAACAGTACTGGCCAGAACAAGGATCTCAGAAATTTGGAGAAATAAATCTGACATTAAATGAGGAAAGAGTGCGTGCTGACTTCACTGTACGCTGTATAACTATGAGTAAGGTAATATTGAAATGCTGGTTTATTATTCTTTCTTGAATAAATACTACGTTTCTATGCAATCATACCAGTTACAGGTAAAGATATGTCATATGTGATTTCAGAATTCCATGTTAGGATATTAGTAATAAATGACTTACTATAATACATGTAGATGAATAAGTGCAGAGTATTCGTAAACGTTAATTTACCACCAAAAATACAATCTCACCGATGAGCCAATTGATATCGAAAAGAGTAAAATTACCGACAATTATTGTAAACCCAAACTGTCGCAACCTTTGTTTTCTTGGACGAACATAATGAAGAAAACACTTTGCGTTCTGTTTTTGATTACTAGGGTACTGAAACACGGGAGTTTCACCACTTCCATTATACAAGCTGGCCTGATCATGATGTTCCTAATGTCAGTGATTTGTTAGATTTTCTCTACATGGTTAATAAACATAAACCAAACTCAAATAAACCAGAGATTGTTCATTGTAGGTACGTATATAATTATCTTCTACATACAGTTATAAATTATATTATTATATTGTTATATTACAGTGCTGGTAGAACATGAACATATAAGTTTATCGCTATAAATTATATCATTATAAGGATCATGCACGTATATAGTTATAGATTATATTACAGTTTTAGTAGAACAGGAACACGTATATATCCGTATATTATATTATTATATTACAGTGCTGGTGTTGGTAGAACAGGAACATATATAGCTATAGATTGTGGATTAAAGATAGGAGAACAGACAGGACACTTTGATGTTATTGAATTTACTAAAACAATGAGAAATCAGAGGAAGGGTATGATACAAACTGATGTAAGTGCAATTTTAGTTTTTTTAATAGACATGGTAGATTTAATAATGTACAGTGGGTCTAAGATATATTTTTTTCTCATTTTTTTTTCAATTTTGTTTTTTGATTGGTGACATTTAATTTTGAATTATTCTCGAATACTTCTAGGGTCAGTTTCAGTTTGTTTATGAGGCATTAACCGAGGGATTTAAATATGGCGACAATAGTTCAGACCAGACTGTGTTTGAATCAAAATTTGATTCAAAACAAGAACCGATGCAGGTTGGGACATTATCCCTCAAAACACAATATGGATACTTGAGACAAATTAAACCCGAGTCAAGTAAGTGGTGGTTGATTATTATTGTTCAAAAAGTATTTTAGAAATTTCATTCGCTCTCCGCACGACTTTTTTATCATGATGTTACGAAGGCAGACAATGCAGAGTCAGATACATTTAAAAACCTCACAATAATTATGATTATAATGGCACCAATTTTTCAATACCCATACATAAGCAATAGTGCTGTGTCCATAATCAATATTGTTTTTTCCATAAATATAGACCATAAATAAGGAGCCACGGTGGCTCAGTGGGTGGTTGGAATTCGATATAAGAGTAGGCCATAGCTTTATCAATATTCTTATATCCATAAATAGGAAAACACACAACATGGTTGACTGTATGTGCCTCCACTACGCCTTGTAACTAGCCGTTTCCAGCTTGATTTTCCAATGTCAGTTGTGCAGGGTAGATTTATATGGGACGAAACACCGAGATCCCGTGTATACCTAGATGTATACTTTAAAGAACCCTTAACAGTTGGGTTTCGAAAGAAGAGTAGATAGTAGCATCCGGTATGCCCGTCTTCTTCAGCCCGGATGGAGCAAAAACATACGACCTTAAACCCCATATCATTTGTAATTAGCCGTTGATTTGTTCACTATCCTTGGTTTCTACCTTCAGGAAACACTGATACCCCGGATAGCATTGATGAATCATTACCAGTTTCATTCCCGGTAAGATCAAACGGTTTTCATTTTCTATGTATTTCATATTATTACTGGAAAATGTTTTGATTGGTGTAACTTTCATTTTATAAAACCAAGATAACATTTTTATAAAGCAGTGTTTAGCTCAACTACCAGACATTCCTTCAACTAGTAAACAAATGATTATAGTGTGGTATTTTGTTATTTAATAATTATCTTGGTTGGGCGCACGCGTAAGACCCACCCGACCCATAAGTTTCCTGTACAATAGAAATAAATAAATAGTTAAAAGATATTTACTACAAATTTGCATCATTTATTTTCAGTCTAGAACAAATCTGAATGGTTATATTGTGGCTGCTCTAAATGGACATAATACAGAATCAATATGGCAGCTGATACAAAATAAACAGTGTTCTGTCGTTGTGGCTTTATTGAATAGAAAGGTAATCAGCCTTTGATTTATTATCTTATTTTAATATACACGGTAGTATTAATATTAAGTCATTTCCCGTCAAATTTTGGACAATTTCAGCCGAATAGTCTTCATACAATTAAGTTTCAATAAACCATCTAAACAAACAAACAAACAAACAGTTTATTTATAACCACAGTATGAATACCATAAATGTGAAAGATAATGCTTTACAAAATGTTCAGATTTATTTAGACGTTAAATGTATTTAACTAAAATAAAACGTATCTTATCATAGTTGAAGTTTGAAATATAAGAAATGGTTATATAGGTAATATAGTTAAGTTAAGTATAAAGGTGTTAAACATTTAGAATTTATGCTCGTCTTTAATTCATAGAAAAGAAATATACACTTAGTCATAGCTGTTGGTAAATACCTATTGTTGTTGTTTTAACAGTCGTCATTCATAGTTGAATTGGCGAAAAGTGAAATTAGAGTCCATATAAATATCAGTTTGGTTCCTGATTTATACTTCATTTAGTCTTGTATACGCTTGTGGGCCGATTATCCTTTCTTCAAATAGTTTTCATTTTGTTAGATATACATATTGGTTACTATTGCATAGACAGTGCTGGGTTCCAAAACTTTTGAATGAACTGTTTCAGAATGAAGTGGCTATATGTCCAGAAGTTGGTACAGAAGAAACATTTGGATCATTAAAACTTGAAAGTAAAACTGATGTCGATGTATCAGAGGAGGAAAACATGATAAGTGTTTCAACTTCCCAAGAAGTAAGTATACTAAATAATAAATGCAGTAGTTAGTTAGCATCGACGAAATGCCACGTCAAGCTTTATCCGATTCATCAGTCTTCGGAAAAGTAGGTATAGAAAAGTAGGACATTCATTTATCCAATTTACAATACTGCGTCCATTGGCAATGGAGTCACGGACGTGTAACACTGACCCGTTTTTATACAGTATTCTGTAAATAGGCACTAAATCAGATTGATAGTAATCTCGTGTTACAGCTCTCTTACTCTCATATCTTTGACTTAACTTTGTGTTCTATTAATACAAAACTCAGGAAAACCATGTTGTTTATAAAATGTCTTGAAACGGTAAAACTTATCATAAATGCACAGTTTATAACAGCTTTGATATTACGTATTTGTTATCGTCTATAGGAACTCTAAATAATATGTCTATATATGTGGCTCAACAGAAAGATGTGTCCCTCATCTGAGAATAAATTGGTATGACACACTTTTTCTTATAAGTTTTATGCCCCTAGTAAGCGAGGTTAGCGGTTTACTATTACTTGATGCAAGAAGTTGTTCGAATATGAACTATGTAAACAAGATTTGGAAACATCGTTCAATATATTCTAGGTTCGACAGCTCAGAATGGAATCTAGATGGCATTCTGTTTACGCTATAGGTCGATGACAGAAGCGTCTACAAACCAAGCTAATTAAGATATAGAAATCGGCTTGAAAACAAGTTAATTACGGCTCGACTCGTCTAAGGTAACAGACTAGATCAAATCTTAACCTATTCTGTTCAGACGGGTGAAGTTACGCCCCCTGTTATAATCCCTTAGCTGACATTAGATGAACCATAGATGTGATACTATCTGCTATGAAAGCAGTGCCGGATTTACCCTTGGCAGGCCGAAGCCCTGGGACTCAAGATCCAGGGGGGGGGGGGGCTCTTGCTAAGTTGTATATTGTTTTGACACTGTTATAAGCCTTTCTTATACACTGTAGTCTTCAGCATCCGTCATCAATCTTGGCTTTGCTCAATTGTGTTTAAGACATACTTTCATCTTCCTCTAGTGTGAGGGTTGGAGATTGGGAGGAACCTCATAAGCGTAATAGCCATTTGGGCTCTTTCAATCTACATTTTATTGTGGGTTTTTTTAATTAAAGGGAGCTGAAACAAAAACTGTTCAAGTAATAATAATGAATATTGGTGAGTCAAAACCGTTTTTACCACTGGTAAATCATATGAAAGAGTTGATTGAACAGATAGATATTCACCATAGTGACGATAACCATCCGATTGCTATCTTCTCTAAGTAAGTGAAATACATTATAATATTTTATACTTAGTCAATTCACGCTACATGCCATATACTACTATGCATAATGTTAAAATCTTTTGAAAAGATGAGAAGCAACACATTCCAGCATAATATACATGTTAAAATAATTCTTGAAACTGTGTTAAACGTAGTGGAATATTCTGTACCAGGCGGATAATATTATGCTTAAAACAAGGTTAGTAGGCAGTTGACTGAATATTAATAAGAATTCATAATTAACTATCTTGAAAATACTGCTGTTTCCAACGCCTGGGGATTTGTGATCATATCACAAACAACCCCATGTTCCTGGGGCAACGACCGCGAGTTTTACAACATCTAGACTTTGCTAGACTGGTCTGCAATTCCCGAACTTATAGCTACGCTATCTCGCTTTAACGCAGACTGCCCAATCAGAGGTTGTGACACAAACACACTAAAATTAAACATGGCGACCTCCACGGAAACTTTGACTTTGAATGAACCTTGAACTTTGTAACTCGATTATCACAGGTTGACATTTTAGCTGGAAACGTGATGATCGAGGAATCTGATAGACTCCCCAGCTGGATTAGTAGCCAATCGAAATTAGTGCCGAAATATGAAGGGCCTGATAAGATATACGGAAATGAAGCGAGATCAAGCCTTCTATTGAAGATGAAACAATCCGCGCTTTCTGTGCGAGGAACAAAGTTGGCTTTCAAACTTGGTCTTTTTTGTGACAGCTGGGCGCATGTATCCAGTATTGAGACTACTCTACAAGGGCGGTCGTTGTCACTTGTTACCATATTGTCATCCAATGTCCAGATTCTCATTATTAGCGAGAAGCCAAACCTCCATTCTTGCCTTTTACCAGAAAATTGTCATTTACGCGCAATCATGATCGGTTTAAAAATGTTAATAATAATCGAAAATGGTTTTACATGCCTTTATTAGTAGCATAAAGATCTTGTGGTTGTCGTTTGTTTTTCAGTGAACCTTCTGATGGTCCATTATTCTGTGTAATAAGAAATATCATACAGAGAATAAAACTGGACAATGAAGTTGAGATATTTGAAAATGTTAGGAAAATGCATCAACGAATTGAATTTGTGAGAAAATCGGAGGTGAGGCATTACAAATATATAAAAACAACTCTGTGTTAGCAAATACATTCATGCGATTGTATGTAGCTGGCTTCTGATTGTTACATTTCTTAGACTCCAAATCCCATTGTTTTTGGGAGTCGCTATAACTCAGTTTTAAAATATATAGATGTCGCATGATAGTCCTTTAACAACCCTCCTCTACCGATACCCAGCCAACAAACATGGTTTTCTGATTAATAAAAAAAAATGCATCCTAACTTTCTACAATTTTAAGATTAAAACAAAAATAAACATTTATGCCATCCAAAACAAAGTTGAAATAGTTACATTGGCAGCTCTTTGTGGGTACTTGCCATAGATATGAATGGCTGATGATTTATAGCTAATTATAATTCGATAATTAGGGATTTTAAAGCTCTTATTGTATAACGTTTTATAATATTATAATTTTCCTTGTTGCATTTCAGGATGACTATCTCAACTTACATAGATTTGTTGCAGAATACATTAGGTCATCTAGTTTATATGCTAATTTATAGAATGTATGTTATATTCTAATTACTGTTACATCATAACATACGTAGAACGACACCTAGTCGATATAACACTCGGTAGTTTCGTAGCAATATACTTCATAGCATTAAGCTTCGCAGCATTATATTTTTGAATACAATTGGACATAACTTCATGTATATTGTATAAAGAACGGAGGAAACTCAGTAACATATATTTGTTATTATTGTATTTTACAATTAGGTTAAAGTATTTAGCATCTGTAATTTTGTCTATTCAAGTTGTATATTTTTATGGACTTATATAACCGTCTTATACCAGGAAACATCTTTTTAATATGAGAATTTTTATACATATGTATATATATATATGAAGTGACGGTCTATATGCGCCAATATGGAAAGAAACCGAGATCTTTCGGTTATAACCATACATTGTCAGTTTCATCAAAACCGTATAAAAATTGTGATCTGTAGAGTGTCCACAACCTTGGTATCATTATGCATATATTTGTCAAATTCAACATCGCAGGAAAACACAATTGACAGTGTTTGCATGGTAAGGTATTTAAAAAAGAAATAAAATTACACTTCATTGCTGAGTAATTTTATTAGCCAGAAATCACACAGAAAGCGTCTCTGACGATCTAGACCCCCAAGGGCTGCTGGGGCCTCGCCTAAAGCCCTAGGGTGGTAGCCCCCCCCCCCCTCGCCCGTTCAAGAATTGCTTCCGCCGGCCCTAAAAGTTTTCAAAATACCCGAAAACTCTAATTCAGGTTGGATAGGACGATGATGAAAAATCCAAAGTGTTACACCCCTATCAGAATTAACGAACCTGTAAGCGAGAAAAATTAGATGAATCTGGAATTCTGGGATACCGACCTCCTATCCGGGGTTCCGAACAGTGAAAAGTGATCCGGGAGTCATGGGAACAGAAGAGAGGCCAAAACACTATCTATATACACCATCTATACACCTGTGAGTGAGAGTGAGAGTGAACTGTTTTCTATTTCAATTAAAAGGGATCATGCATGAATATATTGTGTGTAAGGAATTTTAAATTCCCGCTATGACATCTTTGGTGTACATATACTTTGTTTAGCAGGAGGATTTTGGATAAAAGAAGCAGAGTTGTATTATATAGTAACTATATATCTACATCAGTAAATGTAATATCTAAAACATATTATGATGTGATTTACAATTAGTGAAACATCTAATTTTCCCCACATCATAAATTCAACGATTTAAAATTGAGCATTTTGACTTTATCATGATTTGACCATAATTTATTACTTACCTGCAATCTACACTGAAATATTAGTGTTTTACACACGGTATTTACAATTTTCATTCTCTGTTAATGCTGAGACTGAACCGGAATTCTCTAAACTTGTGTAATTTGGGACAGTATATAATTGTATTCCAATTTATATATGTCATTTTTAAATAATTCTGATTTGACACTACGGCGCCGCACTGATGCACAATCCTACGCCACTGGCATTTGTCGCTTATATTTCAAATTTCTCACGGATAATCCATGCTAATATGGACTATAAGATTGATTACGTGGGCTTAATGCATAAAGAGCATTTCAATTCCACATATCTCTGTTAAATGCTAAACGGAATACACCATTATTAGACTGGTATTTCTGTTACAGATTCACAATAATGTAGTTTGTAAGTGATTTCTAGTACTTAAAATGGCACATCGGGACTTTAAATATTTTGCTGTGTGCTTATAGCATTAGCTCTACACGATATCACTCTCCTACTTACCAGAAGACTGCCAAGCATCAGATGAGTCTAGTGATATACTTTGACATTGTGAAAATGGGTATACCAAAATTTACCATAACGATGGCCCTTTTTACACCTCCTCATCACGCCTTCAACACGGCAACCGGTTTATGTAGAGGTTACACCCATTCATAACAATGAGGTTGTGTAAGAAATGAAATGAAATGGGTTTTTAAGTCCTGGCCTAATGAAGACGGACCCAACAATCTTATAGAAAAGAGAATCCATTAACACATAATAAGACTTACAATCATTTTATTATGCGCAGATCAAATATTATAGCATCAAGCGGTTGTCATGCATGATACGCCCACGTTTTGAAGATGGACAGAGACCAAGTTTAAAACACTATTTTTCGTACAATCAGGGGCCATAATCCAGGAATAAACGGTCCGATATACACGGAAATATCGAAAGGAGCCGAGATCTGTGGGATATAAACATATATTTTAGGTTTCATCACAATCAGATAAAAATTATGACTTGTATTACATGCTTTTACACTTTTTGCGTTCAGTGAACGGCCATTTGGTGGGGCAGTTTTGGTCCGATTTTCACGAAATTCCAACTCAATCGTAATTAGGATGTCACTGTGATATCTTTGAAAGGTTTTTAAAATTGGATGAAAATTATGACCATCCAGGGTTCACAGGCTAAACACAACTAGTGCTCACAATCTAGGAAGTTACGGACTGATATGCGCCAATATCGAAAGGAAACGAGATCTATGGGTTATAAACATACATTTAAGTTTCATCAAAATCTGATAAAAATTGTGACATGTTTTGTACAATCAAGGGACATAATCCACAAAGTTACGGTCCGATACTTGCCAATTTCGACAGGAACCGATGTCTTTGGGGGATAAACCTATATTTAAAGTTTTGTCGAAGTTGGATAAAAATTTGACCTGCAGAGTATCCACATACAAAATGTGAACAGACCCACGGTGATGACAATATAAATCCACATGAAAATGTTGGCGTATTAAAACTTGTGGAGTAGTCACAAAGGCCATTGTCCCGGGAATAAACCCGACAATAAACTGTATTCGACTTTATGAGGTAATGAATTTACAAGAGGTATACTGCTTGGCGGTTAGGGGTATAATTATCCACCCATCATGACCGAAACAGGTGTCTAGTCTAAAACGTTTGGTGTTTAATAATTGTGCTTAGAATTAATCAATGGTGATTTTGGAGAGATGTATAAAAAAGGTAACATAAGGAAAAAATATCCAAATAAAAGTTCTGTCCCGCTGGCCAATTGATGCTCGATATTGTCCTTTATTTATACACATTGGAGATTAATCGAAGTTGTGCTGCTGGTGACACTCGGCTTATACGTATTGTTTAATGGTCGAGAGCGAGACATTAAGTAATTTACTGAAACGGCACGAGGGCCACGAGGCCCGAGTGTTGTTTTAATATATTACGCAATATCTTAAGCTCGAGAACATTAAACAACTTAAAATACAAACACTCCACATGTGCTTTTACAATGAAATACGTCACGCGAGTCCAATATTTCACTAGTATAAATGTACGATCGGCAAGTTGACCGTACGATTATTTGAAATAATGGTACGCCAACATCAAAGGGTGACGTCATATCTATATTTTAAATGTTTATATCTCACACAAAGAATGCAATCATGATCCTTAACCACCAACTTGTATTTCTAACGAGCAATGATATTGTAATACCATTCCTAATAACTCAATAGCTCATATCCATTTCAGCAACACTGATGGGATATTCCATTATAGCTTTAGCGGGTGTAGTGCACAGGACAGGGTGAGCTTATTAAAAAATCACCTTTCTTAAACTCATTTTCATAGTTCTCTACAATTGTTTACTTATATCTGGTCTCCATGTTTGTCTTGTTGGCATTCATTTTTCTATACGCGGTTATGCGCGGGTATTAAACGACTAAAATATTATACTGGCTTTGTGTTACATATATAGGACCCTTTCTATATAGTCTGAGTATACATACACGTCACTAGTTCGTTATTTTTGTATAGAACTATTTGATTTTCTTAAAATTGTAAGAGATGCAGTTTACTCTCTATTCAAATTTATTGAGTAAAATAGGTTACATCAATTTTTATAAATACAGATGTGAATAAGTACCTGTGCAGTCCCTAAGAAACGTCTCTAAAACCTAGCAAGTAGATCAAAGGTACACAATGAAAGCACGTTTTGTATACACGATACATGTTACAATTTAAACTGTTTTACTAAAAGGTCTATGAGAGAGAAAAATGTACACATATTATAATACATTGTGTCTGTATCTAAGGCCTGATCAGAAATCAGTCAAGTAAAACAATTTGAAAGTGTTACACAGCGCGTTGTATACACAAGAAACTCATTTGTCTAAACAATGTTAAATGTTGATTTGAATTCATTTACAAAAACCTTAATTGTGAAGAATATGTAAAGATTACCTACGTTAAATTGTGTATTAACATAATAAAGATATGACAAATAATGTACTAATTGTGAATTTAATCACATGAACTCGCATAGATATGAAATGGTAGCTAGCCAAAACATGTTTGTTGGGGGGGGGGCAAGGACTTCTGGGGCGCCGATGGGGCTTCTGGGGGCTCTGATGTACCTACACTTGATAGTCCACGGCGATTTTGTCCAGCCCCCCCCCCCACACCACACACACACACACACCCACACACACCGCTAGCTACGGGCCTGAGAGTGCTATAAGTATAGGATATTAATCTACCCGAGTGTTCTCTATCATATACATCCGAGGGAGAGAAGTTTTATACCCGACAAATAATACGTCATACTTTTAATCACTCTTAAATTAAATGGAATCTTCCATCAAAAGTCAACAATGATTGGATAATTGCTCCATAGTTTCCGCCAAATAACGAAAATTACCGAATTAATCACGTGAATGCATTGTTTATACTGTCGCCATTTTGGAGTAAATATAAGTTCAATTGAATTGAAAGCAAAAACAAAATGGATAGTAATACGTTATCAGACGAATAATCAATTCTTTTTAGCCAATAGATTGACGATGGAATAGATGTGAATGCAAATTCCGATGAGGATCTACTAGTTGCTAGTCAAAGGCTGAAGAAAATTTGCATCAAAAGGCAATCTTTTCCGATAATTCTAACAGTGAACCGTGAAGGTTTTTGGTATGTTCAGAGAAGGATTTGACGGACTGTGTTAAGTGGACTGTGCCAAAAAATACTTTACAAAGGAACTCTTGAGCCATAAATACTTTCAAGTCTTGGAGTGTGGAGAAATAATCGAAATGTGAACGAAAAGAAAATTCTGAAAGCTAAGTGCGCCGTCTATTTCGCTGCCGAATGCTACAAACTTTAGCATAAAAAAAATTAATTGTAAAAAGAATAAAAAATTATTTCTGTGTTCTTTGTATTATTTCGATCATCAACGTCATCAGTGGTTGATATGAACCGACAGCCAAACTACTATTACTAACTTATTATAAGCAATGAGAGTAAAGTCATGCTCAGTTCCCCAACAGTAGTGTCGCCAACGCGCCTTGGTTGTGCCTGCATATCGACTTTTATGATAAATTTTATGGGCCGATCATACTGATATGGCCACGTTGGTCGTTGGCTTCGTATTGCGTCCAATGGAAAGGGCGCCTACGGACCTGAGAGTGCTATAATCTCTAGTACCGACAGCTAAACTAGCTTATTATAAGCAATGACTGATCAGTAAGCTCATGCAACAGTAGTGTCGCCAATGCGCCTTGGTTGCGCCTGGATATCGACTCTCTTGATAAACTTCGGTAATTGATAATCCCATCTAGCCAACTATCGATGTACCGGTGTCCGAAATACTACAAAACACACATAATCACCGTGTGTTCAACACTCGCAGGCGAATGTGGACAGGTCAATGCTACGTACAAGCAGCTTCCATAGGCCAATGTGATTCGACTGCTCTAAATCTAATTTTTGGTTGTTTAATGAGGTTTGGGCCATTACATTGGGAATGCAATTATTACATTAACATTACTTTTTAAATGTAGGCCTAATCATTACAATTACAGTCTGATATTTAGCAATGCAATGCATTACTATTGCCCATTACATTAAAAGTAATGAATACATAAATACACGTAAGACCCTTTTACAGACATTAAAAAGTTAACCTTATTTTTCTGAAATCGCGCTCGATCTTGAATTTGTATTAACAAAGTTGTCGGTATAAATTGTTTGGTTTTTTTTTTTGCTATTCAATATCACATTAAAGCAAATGCAAATTTTCAAGTGAGGGAATTGTGACAAAAAACTTTTGTTGTATACATTAACTTTTTGGTTTTGACAAATGTATTGAAGCTTGTACTAGCTGGAAATATTGATATGTCATAACATGTAACTGAACAGTAATTTAAATGTAATTGATGATTATATGATTTTTGGAATATAATTAATTACATTTCCATTACTCATTACTTTTGAAATCTTCCATTACTCATTACTTTTGAAATCTTCAAACACTCATTACATAGCCATTACTGCAAAAATGTAATGATTACATTCAATTACCATTGTCCATTACCCAGGCCTTTAACCCCAAAATCTATCAAATAGGACAATTTAGCGTGATTCTATTGCACAAAGAGATAGTTTGTACCCTTAAAGAGTGGCCATCTAGAAAATGGCCGTCATCTTGCATTTTCGAATGGCGAATGGTTTTGTTTTTTGGGGTTTTTTTTGGTTTTTTGTTGGGTTTTTTTTCTAAAGATTGTATGCCCATGTGAAAGATTTCCTTAATAGTATGCAATTATCTTTCTCGGCTAAGAGAATTTCATTTTAAAAATATTTAATAAATATATGTGAGAAGAAATTACAGTGTATTTCCCTGTGCGTATTATGAAATGATGGTATTACCTTTAAAATATAAATAGACTTTCATCCTGTTGGAAAAAAAGTAGTATACAATACTTAAATCAACCCTTTAATATCATTTAGCCTACTTTACTACTGGGCAAATACTATCAATTTACTTCCTTGTTGAACACAAAGTATTATTTACCTAAAGATGGCTACGACGTTAAGTACTCTTGGAATAGGTCTAATGTTGATTTCAACAATATATTGTAAGTTATTTTATCTATATAAATTCATAGACTGCAATTTATAAAGCGATCAAAACAAATATAAATTGGCCAGGATTTATCACACAGCCTCGTTCTTCAAATCTGGATTACTTCCACATTTCTCCGCGAAATGCAAAATGGGCAATTTGAACGATTTGATTAACCAACAAAAGGATCCTCTTTGATAACCCTGTTTTTAGAATTGAAACAGAAATCTATAAAAATTGTGGGAAAAAAAGCAACATGAAAATGCCAAATTGTACATTTTGTAAACACTAAAAGAATTTTAAAACTTCTTTTATATTTAGTTGTTGGTAACAAATATTATAAATAGATTATAATAATCATGTTGGGCCCTGTGCATCATTGGCATAAAACAAAGGGTATTGTGACCTTCACCCTTATAACATTATTGAATATATTTCAGATACCTATGTCAATATTTTGTTAAATCAGTAATGTCGTACATTCACAAAGTAATTCGTATGTTAGTAGACAATCGGGTATTAGCCATTAAATTACATTTATTGTGTGGCATGTTGTTTATTACACACAGTCCTTTCACTCTTTAGATCAAAGGTTATGTCGAGATAAGATCTTTCACGGTTGATATGTATGGCGTTTGTGCACGCCTATATGATCCTTTGTGTGGTTATAATTCACTTAATTCAATAGTATCACTAATCTTAACATTGGTGTAGTATGCTTTATTTGCATAGGGTCCGGGTATTTTTTTCGTTTTAGATTACAGCCTCCCCCCAGCCCCCATCCTTTGAAACTGACAAAGTCTGAAAAATCTATAAGGTCGGAAATACAAAAACTGCAAACTAAATAGTTAAAGATAGATACAGTTCAGTTGGTAGTTGATAAAAATATCGTTACCCCAAGTCCAGATAGAAATTAAGAGCACAATAGTTCCACAGCCTATAAGTTGAAATCACTAAATTCTAATATACTTCCGTTTCTCTCTTTTAAATTGTGAGGGTGGCGTCACACTATCAAAACAGCTGTATTTGGATTAAAGACCTATACCTATTCCAACTTTAACGTAAACGTTCCAATTATCAAACGTTGAATCCTCCGGATACCTTCATTTCCAGAATTGCACTCCCTATTCCGAAAACCTTGATAGAATAACTGCTTTTAACTGAATATTTTTCATATTTGATGTGAAGCGTTAGTGTCACATGTGAGGCCGAAACAGACCGATATTCAGGGTTCTGCGAGCTTTCATTCACGAGTTACCCCACCCCATATATTCCCTATCCCTTACCGAAAAACTTCTGAACGCGATAGAGTCTATAGCCTTTAACGGATTGTTTTTTTTTTTATCAAATTTGGTGTGAAACCTTGGGGTCATGAGTAATCGAAATCTATATTCCATTTCTCTATAAATTGTGACAAGTGTCGTGTAAGAACAGTGTATATCTACTTTTACACTTGGGTATTGTTTCTCGTGGTGTACAGCACACTGTGTTATTTGATTAAATTTTATTGGCTGTGCTGTCTTTACAGTCATTGTCTATCTAATCTCCTAAAATTCGTTTATGTCGCATGGTCTCATGCTTGTACATTATGAAATAAAATACATCAATTTGTGTTCATGTTGTATTCCATTAATAACAAAATAATGTGAAGACATAGGGGGAGCAAAAAGGGCATACATATTTCACCCGATTAGATTTCATTACAAACTTCGAGAAGTATCCATGTCCCAACTGGTAGGGCCTACTGGCTCAGTTTACTTTCAAGATCAGTTATCCTTTTATCAACCATCGCGTGCTTTAAGATCAGTCGAGCAACTACAGCTAGCAGTGCCATCAAAATCAAGAACCAAATATGGAGATCGTGCTTTTCTGCGACGTGGTGTAGTTCTGTGGAACAGACTTCCCATAGACATCAAAAGATCCGAAACATTGAGCACTTTTAAATCACAGCTAAAGACATCAATCTTCAAGCAAATATATGACTAGCGCTCTTGATCAGTTTACTGGAAAGAATTGCGCTCTACAAATTCATAATTTATTATTATTATTATTATTATTATTATAAAGCATTAGAATATAAAGATGCAATGATGGTTGACAGACGTTCAAAATAATGTCCAGTCAAAATTCTCATGTTATTGTACAAACTTTCATCGAAAGATTTTCTTTCTTGGTTTTCTCACTACCCGAAACTAAACAGATTTCAAAGGAAAATAACATAGGTTGGTTTCAAAAAAAGCTTACATTCACACGGTTAATAGTTTGGGTATTAACAACTCTAACTGCGAAAAGATGAACTAGATGTCAATTTATAAAACAACTCTAACTCACATCAGTTCTATATTCTATTCATGCCATTCAGCCCTGCAATACAACCTTCCATTTGTTTACAAATAACTTTTTTGCTAGGAAAATGAGTGCGTTACCTAATGAGCCGTGACCTTGTAATAGTCCGGGAGCTAGGTGGGTTTTCTTCAACATGGAAGGTGCGGAAGGTTTGGGATGCTAGTGGTGTATGGCTGGGTTAGGAGACCCCAGAAACCCAATTCTTAAGTTGTGCCAGTGTTGGGTGTGGTAGGATTAGCAACCCAAATTACCCCAAAAAATTAGTTTATTGAACATGGAAGGTGCAAGTTCCACTTCAGTGTCATTTGATAGAGGCATGTGTCCTGAATTAGGAAATATTACTCAAGAATGGGATTTGTGGTAGAAAGGCCACTTAAGAAAAGGTCAAAGGTCATCAATTAGCAATTTTTCGATTTTACTCTGAACTATTTTTACGTTATCTCATGATCTATTCCAGGTATGTTACACAAAACTACATGTTTTATACTGCTAGGAGCACAAATATGAGATATAAATTAATGAAGTTTTAGAAATAAGTATGAATAATGCTGGTTTGCACCGAATGACCCCTAATTAGAAACTTAATTAACACGAAAGATGCGACATTGGAACAAGGATTAAAATGTAGGGAATGATCATAGGATTCACAAAAACAAACTTAAGAGTTAATATTTTGGTGGTAAATGAACTTAAGAATAGCAGACCAATGCCCATAAAAAAAATCAGTGACAAACAGTAAAATACGACTCGAATGCTAAGTGTACTCGTGATTTCTGATAGTAACAGTGATATATTAATTTCTACCCACTGCCTTCATTTTAGTACTCATTTAAAATATAGATCTATATCATTTTATTGCAGACACCAATCAAGACCCAATCAACCAGAACCTGACTTAGGATAGGCAACTGTTTTCATCAGACGAAGGAATGCCGAAAGCCAGGGTCTGGTTACACCCTAAGGACGACCGAGTTTGAATTTCGTGAAAATCGGCCCAAAATTGACAGACAAAATGGCCGCCCTTCGTTCTCAAATAGCGTAAAAATATGGTATATCAAGGTTGTGGATCCTATGGAGGTCACAATTTTTATCCGATTTTGTTGAAACTTGAAATGTAAGTTTATAACACAAAGATCTTGGTTCTTTTCGATATTTGCCTATATCGAATTGTAATTTCCTGAATTATGGCCCCTGATTGTAGGAAAAATTACTTTTTTTTAGCTTGTTCTCTATCCATCTCTCGAAAAATACCTCTGATAATGACTTCGACATTGCTTCCTCTGATGAAGACAGTTGCCTCTCCTAAGTTAGGTTCTGGTTGATTGGGTCTTGATGTCTGCAATGACATGAAATAGATCTATGTTTTAAATGACTATTAAAATGAAGGAAGTGGGTAGAAATTAATATATCACTGTTACTATCAGAAATCACGAGTACACTTAGCATTCTGGTCGTATTTTACTGTTTGTCACTTATCGTTTATGGGCATTGGTCTGCTGTTCTTAAGTTCATTTACTACCAAAATATTCATTCTTAAGTTTGTGTTTGTGAATCCCATGATCATTCCCTACATTTTACTCCTGGTTCCAATGTAGCACCTTTCATGTTAATTAAGTTTCTAATTAGGAGTCATTCGGTGCAAACCAGCATTATTCTCTTCTTAAGTACACTGACCACCAGACATATCATTTTCTAGTTGATATATAATAATGATTTCTGAAATCATTACGTCTAAATTTGACTTGGTTTCACATTCGCACCTTTCATGTTGATTGAGATTATAGCATACTTATATCTAAAACTTCATTATTTTTATATTTGAGACTATGTCATACTTATAGATATAATTCCATTAATTTTATCTTTATATCTAATACATTTGCTCCATAAAACATGTCCATGTAGTTTTGTGTAACATACCTGGAATAGATCACGCGATAACGGGAAAAAAATTCTGAGTAAAACCGAAAAATTATAAATTGGTGACCTTTGGCCTCTTCTTAAGTGACCTTTCCACCAAAAATCTCATTCTTAAGTTATATTTTCTAATTCAGGCCACATTCCTCTATCAAATGCCACTGAAGTGGAACTTGCACCTTCTATGTTGAATAAACCAGTTTTGGGGGGTACTATGGGTGACTCCACCTACCACACCCACCACTGGTGCAACTTAAGAATTGGGTTTCTGGGATCTCCTAACCAAGCCGTACACCACTAGCATCCCAACCCTTCCGCACCTTCCATGTTGAAAAAAACCCACTTAGCCCCCGGACTATAATGGCGTGTTACGATTTTCAGAGATACGTCTTCGCAGGAAACGTATCTCTTATGTTCAGAATGAGTTTAATATTTAAGTGTAATATTGTCTGCAGGTACACAGCTTGGTTATAACAACAGTTTAACATGTAACTTTTATATTATTTAGATAGGAAGTTCGATTATAACAACAGTTTTACAAGTAACTGTTGTACGTAGTACGTTTGGTTACACAACAGTTTAACACGTAACTGTTATTATATTTGTAGGTAGTACGTTTGGTTATAACAACAGTTTAACCTGTAACTGTGAAGAAAGTTGTCAAGATTCTGGTATATGTAGTACTGGAGGATGTAAACAAGGATGGTCTGGTCCTACTTGTCAAAAAGGTTTGTATATTTGCTATTATATAACTACAAACAATATCATATGCATACGGAATAGGTTAGCATTAGTAAAAAGGTCATGTGGACATTGATAGAGATATATTTAAGCGGGATAATCGCGTCTAAAGCCTAGATCCATTTTGATATTGGCCACTCGTTTACTCAGGTTCTCCCATTTTGGTGGCGGCAAACAGTGTCTACGGTCTGTCTACTTTGACTCAACCGCGTAGCCTCGACAGTTGCAGGTACTACTGCGGTTATATCACGGTCTTTGTAAAGGTTTGACTACAGTTTCACCACGGTTTGACAAGGTTTGGCTACAGTATCACCACGGTTTGTCAAGCCAATACTTGACAATAGCATCACCACGAGTTGCCAAGGTTTGGCTACAGTATCACCATTATTTGTCAAGGCAAGGTTTGACTACAGCACCACCACAGTTTGTCATGGTTTGGCTATATCACTGTCTGCCACCATGACCCTTTGCTTGTAAAGATTCGATTACGTGTGTCACCGCGGTTTTTTAAGGCTTGGCTACAGCATCACCACAGTTTGTCAAGGCAAGGTTTGGCAACAGCATCACCACGGTTTGTCAAGGTTTGATTACGGTTTGTCACCCTTCGCCAAGGAGACACTACGGGCTTCCACGGTTTCTCCACGGGTCGTCACGTAATTTAGTACATGTATGAGTTACCGTTGTCCTATCTTGATAAACTATGGTCTCTGTCATGACAGCCTCACAGTGACTGACGACAGTGCAACGGTTATCCGCGGATGGCCCTAGTTCCCCCCAATTTTATTACGGTCCTGCCTCCGGTCACAACGATTTAAACGGATTTGCTCACCGTAGCAGCATTGGGGTCAAATACCGAGAAGGTGTTACTAGCGCTTTATTTATAATATAACTGAAACATGATTGCCTCTTATTGGGGAGCCACGGTGGCTAGGTTGTTAAGACGCTGGCTGGCTAGCCTGGAGGTCGGGTGTTCGAGAAAGTTCATCGGAATTTTCCGACGTGGTTTCCCCTTGTCAGTGGTGCAGAACGGAGGGCCTGGCAAGGACAGTTGTCTAGTCCTTCGGATGAGACGAAAAACCGAGGTCTGGTGTATATATTGGAATGCACGTAAAAGATCCCCTGACAGATTGAATAGGCGATAGTGCCGATGCCCGGGCAAAATTTCCCTCATAGCACACTGTATGGCGTATGCCTGTCTTCATTAGCCCAGTATAGGAGCAGAACAGTAGGACGTTAAACCCTATTTAATCATCATCATCCTCTTACTGACCAGCTACAAGCAAACTATAAACGTCATTATATTGTTAGGGTTGTTTTTTTTGAAATTATCATAAAAGATTTATTGTCATGAATATGTTGGATTGTTGTGTCCTGACTTATTAGTTTTTAATGTCATGAAGAACCTTAAATGTATTTGCTAACTATATACTTTCAGAAAATGTAGCTCTCCATAAACCAGCTAACCAGAGTTCTTATTATAAATCATACTGGCCATCTTCACGAGGTGTTGATGGGGATATAAATACGTTTATTGATATGATGGCATCTAAACAAGGTTGGTGGCTGGTTGATTTACTACAAAATTATCCAATAACAGATATCACTTTATATCACAGAAACAAATGTAAGTATACATTTGTTATAATTATATATATAATAACATGGATAGATAAATCTGTGTAAGTATACATTCTGTTATAATATAAAATTTACATAAATGAATCCGTGTAAGCAAACATTCTGTTATAATTATATATAAAATATATAATTATATAGTTATGATTCAGTTATAACTATATATGTAATGAATTAAATAAATAAATCCGGTTAGTCCTTCATGTTATTGATATTATCAATATAAAATATATATATATATTATATATATATTGAAACAAATGTTTCAATGCATAGTGAAACCTCAGTTGCGCCCAGAAAATCCTAAACGGTTGGTTAAAGACCATATAAACATACGGGAATTTAACAAAATGTCAAATTAGTCCGTTAAATGCAGTATAACGCCATATAGACATATAATGACACACTATGAAAACCGGTACATTTATGTAATAAAACATTGAAACTGTTGGCTCTATTCCCGTAATTGGGCTTATCGGAACATGACACTGAATAGTCTTTAGTACATAAAAAGATACACCTGAAATAACAATGACGAAATATGAACTGTTTAGGATTTATTATTACGCCATGTCTTTTTATGGATGTAAGCTTGCTATTGTAAACCGCACTGAAAATATTAGCATGATAGTTCATGAACACGGTTCCTTTTGGGACGAGAGAAAATTACTTATAGAGCTTTAAATGATCATTCCCAGGAAGACGTGGCGTCATACACGGTCTATATTGCGCACAGTTATATTATTGCAGGGGCTCTGTTAATAAGCTTGTGGAACAACGATCTTTTGCCAATGCCATGGATACTGGGTGCTGTATGTGTTATAACAGCCGCTAAACGAGTGAAGAAAAAAGATTTGGAAAGATACTCAAGATCCCAGAAGTTTCTTGAGACAAACTATCAAATATTTAGAACTCTGTATGTCGGAACGAAATAAAATCATTTGCACGGGTGTTTGCATTATACAGCAGCAGTATCAGAAGATACCGTGGAATACAACTCTGCCACTTCATTAGCTGCCCTTACTATGCCGACATCCGCATCTGCAGATGCATATACAGCATTGCAACCTTTTGTTAACTCAAATTCATCACATAAAGCAGCAACCAAGTTTAATGAATGCTGCAGGCCTTTTCTAGACATTCTACGAATGTATAATTGTAAATCTAATGCAAATTATAACGCTGTATAGCCCAGCAAACTGATATTGGTGCTTATTTTAGCAAACGTTTTCTCGGTTAATGAAATGCAACTTAGATTACAGCACGCTTTATTCTATGTAGAGAAAATTGGTAAATGATTCCTTACACATCTACTTTCGTAAGCGACCATTCAACACCCCTGGGCATCAGGCATCTATGAATACCATTTCATGTGAAAGACTGATCCCGGTAACCTAAGGATTGTCAGTTTCATTTGTTTAAGGAAAATGACTTTTCAGTATACAAAACTCTACCATAAACCATCCCTGTGATGTTCGGGTTTAGATCTTCCTTAACAACTTTTTAAGAAAATTGAAAAGCATGTTAATTTTAAATTTTGAATTTAATCCTAATCCTAATAGGCAATACAGTTTAAAAAGAAAAACAAGGTGATGTATTCCATCAACATGGCCATGGAAATAACTTGCGTACGTCTATTCCGAATTTTATGAAGATGTTTAAATCATTTTCGGGAATGATTATACTTATAGAATACATAATGACAATAATAAACAATAAACTTTATTTAATTGTAAATAATTTCTTTATATCTATTTATTTCAACAACGCTTTCACTGTGTTTTTACAAATACTCCCTTTCAATAGCTTGCATGATTATCACTCCATGCATTTTAACAGAAAATGGTCGACATATAGTGTCATATAATTCTATAAGAGATGGCTGCACCAATTCAGAGAACCGGTAAACATAATGTCATCTGTGTTTGTGTTATAATGTGTTTTGTTTTGTTACTTCAGTGTTACACAGGTTAAGAGGGTTTTATGTATATATTATTAATGAAGATTTAGTATCAACTTTATGTTATCATCATACCAATGAAACTTTAACATTTGTATATAAGATACGATGTAATAGCACTGGTCGTTATGTCAATATAACTAGTGATACCAACAAAGCAATTCTAAATTTAAGCGAAGTGGAAATATACGGTAACTATAAATTCTATTTAATAAACTATCTATTTATTAGCTTTAATTAAAGTAACATTCATTGATGATGTTTCTTATAATTCTAAACAACTAAAACTTTGGTACTGAATTGTCGGGTGGGGAGTGTGGTCAATAACACAAAATCATAAACCTAAACCTTTAGATTTCTTGTAATTACATTTAAAATAAACAAAACGCCGAAAGTCTAATTATCTACAATTTATTGACGTGGATATTATATGCCACATTATGGTGTTCTTTATAATTTATTTGGTTTTAGTCTGTTCAGCTGGTACATATGGTGCAAACTGTACGGAATTCTGCCATTGTTCTCAGTACACACGATGTGATGACATCACCGGGTATTGTAAAGATGGATGTTTACCAAGATGGCATGGTAACAGCTGTAATAAAAGTAAGAATAAAACATGTAAATTGTAGAATGGACCGGAGTTTAAAATCTTATAAATATAAAACGAAAACTAAGATGACCTATTAGTATTAGAATACACATAAATTAATATGGATTATTAATTATCCTATAATTGAAGTCATACTGTTTGACACTGTATATATGTCCCATTTCCATTATTTTAAATTGGGTATTAAGGAAAATTTTATTGACTGCCTGAAACCATTTGTGTATATGTCAAATTTCTATACTTAAAGGTTGTTCTGATACAAACAGCTATGGTGATGGGTGTAAATTTGATTGTGATAAGAGAAAATGTAATGGAACATCAGATTGTGATCAGGTGACTGGAACATGTTTATATGGTTGCCAAGACGGATGGGAAAGTCAAGATTGTACAAGAGGTAAACATAATTACATCCAATGTATTCATTAACATACTAATTTCCATGATATTTTTCGTGTAAGAAGTGTTTATGTTGGTGGGCAATATTTTGGATACATTTGACGAAGTCAGTATAATCATAATGTTTCATCTAATTCAAAATAATTACGACCCAGAATCGAATATTTATGTATTAGTTAAAGTAAACAACAACCATTGAACGTTTAGTAATTGTATGGCCTACATATTATGGACATAAAGGCCCACTTTTAAGAATATGCGTTTCATTTGGGACCATCCGGTTGAATATTATTACGAACTTGAGGGATTTAATTTAAAGAGATAAAACGAACTGTGTGTAACTTAACTCCAATTAAATGTATGTATATCCACTCGATAGAAGGGGGTGCGTTTGTTTTAGCCTCGGTTATCCACAATATCTTGAAATATTTTTATACGTCCACATTTCAGTGTTGGGGTGTTTTGTCATCACCCTGTCCCTCGGTCGGCCAACAATTGCCCTGTGAAAGTGATAGGGGCGAAAGACTTCGACAGACTTTTTTTTTTCAAATTTCATTTGAAACATTGGGATCATGAGCTGAGGAATCCTATCGATATTAACCGTTTCACGACTTTAGATTCGAGAGTCACCCCCACATCCCCTCCCTTTGCCGAAAATCATGTAAACACCATAGAGACTACATTTCTTAAAGGATTGTTTTCAAATTTGTTGCGAAGCATTGTGGTCACCAGAGAATATCCAGTTGATATTCATTGTCCCGTGAACTTCTATTCAGCTTCCGTCCCACCCAATGTTCTCGTGTTAAAGACTACAAATCTTAACACATATGATTTTTTAAATAAGTTATGTGTGAATCATTAGTACTGTGAGACGATTAACCCTATTTAAGCATTGGCATTGGAATCAGAAAGGATATATCCTGTTGATTTCCATCAAAGATTATCTATTACAAGAAAATCTTGTAAACTCAATAGATCATATTACATTTTGTCAACATCTAAGAATTCCTTTCGCTCATGCTCAGTCTTAGCGCCATTGTTTACGTTCACCACAATAATCTTAGTTGCAACAACCTGTGAGTTACTTCCTCGATTGGTCGATAAAAAATAATACAAGTATCAATGGCGGATAAATTGACTATGTGTCTTCCCCGGAAATGAACCCAGGGTATAGTGGAGTAGAATTCACATAATTTCATAGTAATATACCGGTATGGAAATACATGCATATCTGGTGATATTAAAAACAACTAATAAATTAATATGTATCTATGGTAGTGCAAATTCATGAAGCCACGACAGTTGCTACTTCAGAAAACTATGGGTGAATTTCAGGAGGAAAGGAAATGGTCTGAGATTAAGCTTGACAAATATTGTTGACGAAATAACTCGTGCAATATATATCTTTGGGGGGGGGGGGCAGACTGTTGTTTGACAGTTCCCTATTCATCCCATAACCCAAAATGGCGACCGAAATAAACACCGAGACATAGGGCATCGTTTGTTTATGCTACATAAGCCACTCCTCGTGGTTCCTCTTGATATTCGATGATTTTGTTGTTGTATTTTAGTGTGTTCACAAGGGAATTATGGTAAAAGCTGTCAAAAACTGTGTTCTGATAGAAACTGTAAATCAAGTGATTCAACTTGTGATCACGTGAATGGAACTTGTGTTGGTGGTTGTAAAGCTGGCTGGACATCACATGATTGTACTCTAGGTAATACAACTTGGATTTTTCTTGTTTGTATCAGAAACTATCATCATTACTTGATTTATTATGATGAAACAACATATTTCATAACTGTAATAATAAGAATTAAACCCTCAATATGAGCATTTGAATTCTCTACTCGTAATGGTTATCAGCAACGTTTTGGTTCTTTGAAGTACGTATTGCAATTATACCAAATGCACCCAAACTTCAGTAATATATTTATAATCCTGTGCAAAAAAAATCACATTCAATAAAAGAAACCAATCCACCTATTGTAGTAATTCGAAGAACCCCGATTTCCATTTCTTTTGGATTCCAGACCCTTTTCGAATCGGCATATTCATTATTTTAGATTGTGAAATTGGTTTTTATGGCAATTGTCAAAATCGAGACGCAGATCCAAGTAGGAAGCGTAATTGTCACTGTCAGTAGTGTTTTTAATTTCGAGCTTATGAAACTAATACTAAAACTTTATTACACCTTTGAATAAAACAAATTCTATAAATCAGGTCTGAAATACACTCTACGTGTGCTACAAGATTTGAAATTACTTTTTGTTGGTGGAAAATGAACATGAATGCAATATTTGATTAATAAAGAGCTTGTCCATGCATCGAGTGTTTAAGTCAAATCATAATAATTATTTGTAATATAGATAGATGGTGCAGCCTGTAGAATTGCATCCTCGGTATCCCCAGTGATATCGTTCCATTCTACTCCACCATACTCAGGGGTCATTAATGGGGTTTCACGAATTCAAACGAACCAATTAAAAAACAGTTTTTTCATACCAGTCTTAGCGCCATTGTTTACGTTCACCACAATAATCTTATAATAACATGTGATTTACTTCCTCGATTGGTCGATAAAAAATAACACAAATATCAATTGCGAATAGATTGACTATGTGTCGTGTCTCACCCGTAAATGAACCCAGGGTATAGTGGAGTAGAATTCACATAATTTCATAGTAATATACCGGTATGGGAATACATGCATATCTGGTGATATAAAAATCAACTAATAAATTAATTTGTATCTATGGTAGTGCAAATTCATGAAGCCACGACGGTTGCTACTTCAGAAAACTATGGGTGAATTTCAGGAGGAAAGGAAATGGTCTGAGATTAAGCTTGACAAATATTGTGTAATATATTTGGGGGGGGGGGGCAGACTGTTGTTTGACAGTTCCCTATCCATCCCATAACCCAAAATGGCGACCGAAATTGGCGAGAAAAATAATCTGTCAATATCTGCAAAAATATGAACATGTGGTGTGTTGTTTCATGAGTTTCTGGATATGCGGAACACGAATATGTCATTTTCAAGCTGATGGACCTAATGTGAAATGCGATGGCATACAATAAGAGTTTCATCTATCATCATGCACTTTATAATACTATATTCCGACGGATGACTCACGTGTCCGAGCCTGAGTATTTAGAGTCCACTCAGATTGTTGTGTAAACACCGAGACATAGGGCATCGTTTGTTTATGCTACATAAGCCACTCCTCGTGGTTCCTCTTGATATTCGATGATTTTGTTGTTGTATTTTAGTGTGTTCACAAGGGAATTATGGTAAAAGCTGTCAAAAACTGTGTTCTGATAGAAACTGTAAATCAAGTGATTCAACTTGTGATCACGTGAATGGAACTTGTGTTGGTGGTTGTAAAGCTGGCTGGACATCACATGATTGTACTCTAGGTAATACAACTTGGATTTTTCTTGTTTGTATCAGAAACTATCATCATTACTTGATTTATTATGATGAAACAACATATTTCAGAACTGTAATAATAAGAATTAAACCCTCAATATGAGCATTTGAATTCTCTACTCGTAATGGTTATCAGCAACGTTTTGGTTCTTTGAAGAAGTACGTATTGCAATTATACCAAATGCACCCAAACTTCAGTTAATATATTTATAATCCTGTGCAAAAAAAATCACATTCAATAAAAGAAACCAATCCACCTATTGTAGTAATTCGAAGAACCCCGATTTCCATTTCTTTCGGATTCCAGACCCTTTTCGGATCGGCATATTCATTATTTTAGATTGTGAAATTGGTTTTTATGGTGATGGTTGTGTTTATAAATGTTCAGAGAGAAAATGTCTGAATGTTACGTCATCATGTGACCATATTAGTGGCGAGTGTGATAAAGGCTGTGAAGAAGGGTATGAATGTATGGTTAACCAATACACAAGGGATATTCTATGAACAAATCAATATTTGGTTCATTAATCTCCATCTATTAATTACTTAAAATAATATAAACACGTTACTGTATTTTCTACGATATCAAATCTGGGAAAGCGCATGTTAAAACAATAAAGGCAAGAAATAAAGCAATTACTGCCAATCCCAATTATCAATTTGAACACGTCATCTGTGTCGACGAGACCGGATTCATTTAATAAAACATTCATTTTTAAAAAGTTATTGAAAGCTTTGCAATTAATCCATGTACACTAAAAAATGTTTTCGAAAATACCAACCCTTATGGCAGTTTGGATGCATGTAGTGATATCTGACATATAATAATGTTCTTAATTTTTTTTTTTTTTTACTCTGTAGCTGAAAAACAACATGACGGAATGTCACTTCCTGTAGAAATTATAGCTCCAGCTGCTACATGTGTTGTTGTACTCCTATTGGTTATTTTTATTATTACTGTTCTCTTAATCAGGTACCTAGTTATATATGTATACATGACATGTACGTCACGGGAAATATAGGTAACAGGGGGCTTGTTTTGGGAGTTAGTCTTAAACGGCGAAAGCAACTATTTCTGACATGATTATGTTCACAGCGCCACCAAGGTCAATAACCATGTGAATGTTTGTAGATTGATGTTTTGATTCAAGTTCGGTTGAGATCATACGGGTACCGAAATTTAAAGGCTATGGCGTTCACATGCTATTTCATGGGTAATTGAATTTGAACACTTCCGACATTTCATGGATATACAGTCATATGTCAGTCAATCGGACGATGGATTTAAGATGGTGGTCCGACGGGCGGACAGATTTGCCAACAATAACTCCACATCTCGTACCATAATCATGTACCATATAGTTACTCGATAAATTTTATTTTGGTCAATTCCGATCTACTTAAGTGTTGTGTCTTTTAGATCTTAAGAATGGAATTTTGACTATAGTTTGTAACACTATCTTATACTGCAAAATTTTATATTAATTGTAGACGAAGACGTAGACGCACCGGTAGTCAGACTAAAGACGTGGATGGTGTCAATATTGCAGATACTACAAATCCAAGATTAGCGATTGTTCAGCCAACAAGACGTCCGCGAGAAAAGGATTATGAAGGTTGAATTTGCTTATAACTTAGACAGCGATCAATGTGGTGTAAACCCCTATTAAATAATATTAGCCAGATACACAAAACCAGTGATTTAGTATTATGTTTGAGGTTGTTGGTCTGTTTTATCCTCTACATGTACTTCTGAAATCTGGACCTAGGGGACAGAGACATGCATGAGGCAGGGTGTGGTCATTCTTCCTAGTACGCATGGTGCCACTGTTCACAAAATTAAAATCTGTTTTTCTTTTTTGCATATTTTTTTCAACTTTATCTATTATGCATATTTTTTTGTTTTTATTGTGCATATTTATTCTGTTTAGAACATCATAACATACGAGTATATGCTACCATAAATGATGATGAGCTTGAGTTGCCAGCAAATAAAGTAACTAACTTTGACAAAGAAATTGACCCTGTTACGAGCGCCAACCATTATGAAACAGTATCAATAGACGATGATGACAAATCTCTAGCGTCAATGGACACATATATTCCAACAGAAGTTCAAGCTGAAAGGTCATCAGATCCACCAATAGAATCAGAAGACTCTAATTATTATAATCTGCTCAATATTAATACCGATCTAAAATTAGATCAGTTTGAATCATTCGTCATTAAAACAAAAGATGTCAACGGATTTAAACATATTTTTTTGGTATGTTAAATTCTGCTTGCTTGCTGCAATATTCCTTACCTGATAGCTGTTGTTTTGTTAATTTGGAGCTGGGGCGAAATTATCAGAAAGTTTTAAATTATGTTCTGTTAGGTTGTTTTTTGGTTGTTTTCTTTTCGGGGGGGGGGGGGTATATTATTATTATTCTTTTTTTTTAATTGTGAAAAATTCATAATTCACGAAATGATAAAATGTCGCGTGTGTTACGACTTTTCTGTTACCAACATACATATTTATTTCAGTTTTTGCCAAATGACTTTACTGCTAGCTATGATATATCACAGAAACCTGAAAACAGATCTAAGAACCGATTTCGTGGATATTATCCTTGTGAGTTTTAAATAGTCTAATCTAAGACTGTCATTAAATAGTCTTATGTTCATTATTGCAAAATGAGTAAATTTAATATTAGATAATTTCTTTCGAATACATTTCAGCAATATCATAAGAACTTTAGTCAGTCTAACACTACCTTTATTATTTCATGCTTTTGACTTTAAAGTCTTGATATTTTATTCATTTATCAAATTCTTTCTGTATATTGTAATAGATGATTACAGTCGAGTTGTACTCCAAAAATCCAAAACAGATCCACATTCTGATTACATTAATGCCAACTACATTGATGTAAGTATGATATTCGCAAAAATAGTTATTAACCAATATTTAAATACAATAATACACATTCGAAAATCCATTTCATATAGAAACTATCTTTATTATCTCTCAATATAAATAATTGACCCGTCGCCATTAGCCCAGTCGGGGCAGAACATTTTATTTATATTGATCGGAATATAATACCAGATAGTGGCAATATGTTCATTTGTTTTATCTTTAAACCAGTCCAAAAATAAAGACGTATCGGCAAGTGTTCTATTATCGTTTCCATGCACATGTTTCAAAATGTCGCACCATTTAAAGGAGCTAAATCTATATTCGTTGGCACCTAGAAATCGACACAAATGGGTCGCAACGCATATAAAAATGTATTATGAATGTATATTATACATTCATAGTACATTTTTATATAATACATTTTTATATGCGTTGCTACCATATTATGAACTGATTAACATTCAATCGTTTCTGTTTTTATTGTAATTTCTGATCAGTTATGTTCGGCGAAATACGCTAATAGATTCTCCTGTGGGGTATGTTTAGCCTCGTTCATCAAGTCGTCCATTACAATTGGCGCTCGAAAGCAAATTGGCACGCGATTCATGTGCCAATTTTAAAATTTTCATTTTGTCTCAAATATTGGATATCAGAATCCCATCTTTTCACGGTAAGATAACAACATTAAGGTTGATTTAATTTGACCAATAAGTCGTGTTTGCAATGTCGAAGACAGTGGATGATATTGAGTTAGCGACTTGTATACTTTAATAAACCAGTGATGATATTTCATTTGGGTGTATAATGTGCTTAATCACTACTTGCATCTCGTAGATTATGACCCGATCATAAAATGCGGTAATAATTCATCGTATGAATTTGCTTCCAGGGCTATAAGCAATCGAAGGCCTATATAGCAGCACAAGGTAAGGATAACATAACAGTTTCAAGTTTTGTTTATTAACTAAATACTTTATTATGTTTATGTACAGTGATGGTTAATGCATTATTCAAGCGCTAAATCTGCCTAACGCATATCGTTTGACCTCATTAATTAGACATTTATTTACGCGCCAGGCCCATAATCAACTCTCTAGATCTTCGGATGATTTTGATTTTTAACAGATTTAAATACGACTGACAGTTAATGATTTAATTTAAAAATGGATAATCTAGACTTTGTTTTTATCATAACAACGGTAGCAATAACAATCGAGACTACACTGTTCTGCAAACGACGATAACTCCGTTCAGGATGTAGTAATTTGACCGAAATTTTCAACATATTCCCTTTTCATTATTGATTGTTTAACTATACTATAGCGAGAACTGTCAGTTCTTTATCTAATCTAAAATAATTCATTATTAATATCGGCCATTTTAAAGCATTACTTTGCATCGAGAAGAAACTATAATAAACCAATATATTGAAGCCATGGTGCTTATTTCTCTGCAGGTGCTACCAAAGTTACAATATACGATTTTGTAAGAATGATATGGGAACAGAAGTGTGATAAAGTTGTCATGTTGACTAATGTACAAGAACAGGGAAAAGTAAGCACTGACAAAACAATTGTTTTAGTGTAATTTTAAAACATTGATTATAATGAGTTCACGGGATTATTATAAAACTTGAATATTTGATAAAGTCTGGTAAATTATACAGTGGTAGAGTATGATTGTATTGAATATATACGCCTTAACATATACTCTTCCCACATAAGGCGTGTGAAATATTCAATTAGTTGCACATATTTACCTGTTGTAGGGTTCACGGAAAACTCATATATTTTAATCTATTACGGAAAACTCTATTTTCTTCAGATGCAATTAATACGACGTCCTTATGAGAAAGACATTATCGCATGATTTAGAATAGTCCTCATGTGAGATGCATGAAAACTTAAATACATGTACCTCCTAATCACATATATTGTTGCAATTCCATTTCTAATTTCGGGAATCTGTTTTTAAGACACGGATATCTTTTTTTAAGCACAGGGTAAATTGACATTGTTTTGGGCTAATTACACACAATATATACATTTCTAAGTTATATAAATTGTTCATATGAAGAATGTTCATCTTGCCTTGTATTCTCAGATCAAATGTGAACAGTACTGGCCAGAAAAAGGATCTCAAAAATTTGGAGAAATAAATCTGACATTAAATGAGGAAAGAGCGCGAGCTGACTTCACTGTACGCTGTATAACTATGAGTAAGGTAATATTGAAATGTTGGTTTATTATTCTTTTTAGAATAAATATTACATTATATGCAATCATATATATTTCTGCTAATTATCACCAGAGGTAATATGAAGCTATTTGTGTCCTTTCTTTCCAAATTATACTTTTTCAAACTAATTAACTTCTTGTCATTGTCAGCGAAGACAAAGAAATATGGGATTTAAAAAATATCGTACGGTATATAAATGATAAATGGTTTACGAGAATAGATAAGTACATAAGTGCAGAATCTTCATGAACGTCAAATTACCACTAGAAATATTATCCCACTCATGATCCCATTGCCGTGACTTGTATTAGAAAACTTCTACATGAAGAAAAATACATTTAGACTTGCTTTTGATTGCCAGGGTACTGAAACACACAAGTTTCACCACTTCCATTATACAAGCTGGCCTGATCATGATGTTCCTAATGTCAGTGATTTGTTAGATTTTCTCTACATGGTTAATAAACATAAACCTAATTCAAATAAACCACAGATTGTTCATTGTAGGTACGTACATAATTATCTTCTATATACACAATTACAGCTATAGATTATATTATTATACAGTGCTTGTAGAACAGGATAATATTATAGTCATAGATTATATTATTAGTACTGGTGTTGGTAGATCTAGAACATTGCTATCTATTGGTTAATTACAGTACTGATAGAACAGGAACATGTATCTATATATTATATAATTATATTATAGTACTGATGTTGGTAAAACAGGAACACATATATATCTATAGATTATATTATTATATTACAGTGCTGGTGTTGGTAGAACGGGGACATATATAGCTATAGATTGTGGATTAAAACAAGGAAAAGAGACAGGAAGCTTTGATGTTATTGAATTTACTAAAACAATGAGAAATCAGAGGAAGGGTATGATACAAACAGCGGTAAGTGCAATGCTACCGTTTTATAACACATTAGATTTTAAAGTTATTATTTTATATTTTGTTAAATATATTTCCGTTCATTTATTTTCAATTTATATTTATTTTTGGTATATATTTATTCTTGATTACTTCTAGGGCCAGTTTCAATTTGTGTTCGAGGCGTTAACCCAAGGATTTAAATATGGCGATACTAGATCAAACAAGGCAGTCTATGAATCAAAATTCGATTTTAAACAAGAACCTATGCAGGATGGAACATTGTCTCTAAAAACACAATATGAATACTTAAGACAAATTAAACCCGAGACAAGTAAGTTGTGGTTGATTTGATTATCAGCTTTTCTAAATATTGTTAATTATAAAAATTTCACTAAACTAATATTTGGCTTCACCGTTATGATAGATTATTTGAAACCACATTCTTATATCCATATTCTTATATCCATATAATATAATCAATATTCTTGTATCCATATAATATAATCAATATTCTTATATCCATATAATATAATCAATATTCTTATATCCATAATATTGTTATATCGATAAATAATCAATATTCTTATATTGCTAGATTGACTTATTGGAATTATGTTCAGCTGCGGTTTTGTTTACTATTCTTGATTTCTACTTTCAGAGAGCACAGATTCCTTGGACAGTCATCCTCAATCATTACCAGTTTCATTTTCCGTAAGATCAAACGGCTTTTATTTTCTATGTAATTCATATTATTACTGGAAAACGTCTTGATTAATAAAGCTACATTATCTTGAAGAGGAATAGAATTTTGAAAGAAATATTAGGTCATTTTGAGACAAACGTATGTAAATTTTAATATAATAATATACTTACGAGTAGACGTCTTTAGCAATCGCGGTTGAAGTAGAGAAGTTAGGGAAACAACTAGATTAGACAGACGATGACTTCATAGACCCCCAGCCCCTTTAATACCCCACCCCCTGCCCAATCCCTACGACAGAAACGGAGAGTTAGTATGATTTTTTTTTCAGTCTAGAACAAATCTGAATGGTTATATTGTGGCTGCTCTAAATGGATATAATACAGAATCAATATGGCAGCTGATACAAAATAAACAGTGTTCTGTTGTTGTGGCTTTACTGAATAGTGAGGTAATCAGTCCTTGATTTACTATCTTATATTAATGTAGATTGTGAAATTTTGTGTATAGGTTTCGCCTATGGGTCGGAAATGCCCGTTTCTGTTGTTTTGACACTTAAGGTTATTGGCGAAAGATGTGTCAATTGTGTGCATCCTTTATACTTTCATTTAGTCTTTAATAAAGCGCGAATTCAGCTTTCTTCAAAAGAAGAAAAAATCATTTTGTTATAAATACTTATTGGCGTTGATGGGTTCTAAAACTCATCAGTAATTGTCCCAGACTAGATTGGATATTTATTATTTCTGTGAGCTCCATTATACTTCGAATAACGATAAATAAAACCACCACCGATTTTTTTTTCTCAGAATGAAGTAACTATATGTCCAGAAGTTGGTATAGAAGACACATAGTCAACTGCCCATGGGAAATGTCTACTTTATATGCTTAGTTCTTTGTTTGTTGTTTTGATAGAGTGATGCAGGACGGAGGGGCTGACAAGGAAAGCTGTCTAGTCGTTCGGATGGGACGAAAAACCGAGGTCCCGTTTACACATTGGCGTGCACGTAAAAGATCCCTTGGCAGTTGGAATTCGATATAAGAGTAGGCCGTAGTGCCGCTGTCCGGGCAAAATTTCCCTCATAGCACACTGTATGGCGTATGCCCGTCTTCATTAGCCCAGGTTAGGACCAGAACAGCAGGACGTTAAACCCCATTTCATTTCATTTCATTTCATTTGTTTTGATAGTCGTCATTCATAGTTAAATTGACAAAAGCTAAAATTTGAGTCCATAAAAACCTCAGTGTTGTGCCTTATTTACGTTTCAGAATGAAGTGGCTATATGTCCAGAAGCTGGTACAGAAGAAACTTTTGGGTCATTAAAACTTGAAAGTAAAACTGATGTCGGTATATCAGAGGATTTAAACATAATCTGTGTTTCAACTTGTCAAGAAGTACGTATATTAATTAGTAATAAATATATATGTTAATATGGATGAAATGCAACGTTGATGTGTACTGCGTCTAGTGGAGATAGATTCAATGAACGTTGAAGTTTCGTTTTCTATCATGACCCCGATGATCACATCATATTTTTAAATCTATAATATGACATTAATTATTTACTATAGAATATTATGAATTCTCAAATTTCTTTTATTCAAGGGAGCTGACGCAAAATCTGTTCAAGTATTAATAATGAATATTCGTGACTCAAGGCTGTTTTTACCATTGGCTAAACAGATGAAAGAGTTGATTGAACAGATAGATATTCAACATTGTGACGCTAATCACCCGATTGCTGTCTTCTCTAAGTAAGTGGAATGTTACTTGTCCTTACTAACATACTGATCTCAGAAATCTGAAGTCGTCTTTAAGACGTTTTAGTATTTTCATGGCTGTCGTTTATTTTCAGTGAACCTTCTGTTGGTCAATTATTCTGTGTAATAAGAAATATCATACAGAGAATAAAACTGGACAATGAAGTTGAGATATTTGAAAATGTTAGAAAAATGCATCAACAGATCTCTTGCTTGGTAAAATCGGAGGTGAGATATTACAGCCTGTGTTAACCTTTACCTTCATGGTTTGGCTTGTAATTGACTTCTTCATTTCTTACGACCCAGATCTTGATATAAATCGGTTCTGAATCAAATATAGTTCGTACGCTCATTGAATGTAAGGAAACCCGAACAGTCAACTAACTTGGTTTTCGGATGTTCTTAATATATACATAAAAATAAACACCCTATTTTTCATCGATATAAAACTCAAAGTATGGCATTCTAAACAAATTTAAAGTAATTGTTCACACCCTTTTAAAAACTGCTTGCAATAAATAGTATGTTTAAAGCTCCCGGAGTAAGGAAATCAGAACAAGCAAATAACTTGGTTTCCGGATGTACTGAATTCATATATATAAAAACTAAAAGTATGGCATTCTAAACAAATTCGGGAGCCACGATGGCTCAGTGACTAAGACGCTGGCTCGCTAGCCTAGAGGGCGCGGGTTCGCTTCCGGTGTTGACCGAGAACGTTCATCGTGATTTTCCGGCGTGGTTTCCGATTGTCAGTGGTGCAGGACAGAGGGCCTGAGAACCGTCTACACATTGGTGTGCACGTAAAAGATCTCTTGACAGTTGGAATTCAAAAGAAGAGTAGTCCGTAGCGCAACTATCCGGGCAAAATTTCCCTCATAGCACACTATATGACGTATGCCCGTCTTCATTAGCCCAGTCGGAGCTGATCAGTAGGACGTTAAACCACATTTCATTTCATTTTTTCTAAACAAATTTAAAGTAATTGTTTAGGCCCTTTCTTAATAACTACTTGCAATAAATAGTGTGTAAAACCTCCTGCAGTATTGGGTTTTAATATGATAATTTTTCTTGTTGAATTTCAGGATGAGTATCTCAGCTTACACAGATTTGCAGCAGAATACGTGAAATCATCTAGTGTATATGCTAATTTATAGAATATATATTAATATTCTGATTACTGTTACATCATAACATACGTAGAAAACAACCTAGTCGATATAACACTCGGTAGTTACTTATTGATATAGATAACAGGCATAGTTTTTCATAGCACTATACGTTATTGTATTATACTTAATAGCATTATATTTTTACTTAAGTTTCGACACAAATTCACGTATTTTGTATAAAGAACGAAAATCGATAACTTATTTTTTATTATACAAACACATTGCAGCGTAGGCGTATTTTGTTGGCACGCTGTCCACCACTCCGTCTGTCCGTCCATCAGTCCGCGTGTGATGGCGGCGGTTTTTAGCGGATTCTTGGTGCCAAGAACCCCCCCCCCCCCGCCCCTTTCCGTTTAACCTTCTTAACGCGATTCAGGTTTTAGTTTTTAACAGATGGGTTTTTTTTTTCAAATTTGGTGTGAGAGGAAGAACTCTATCGTCTTTCAACGTTCGGTGACTTTCGTTCCGAAATTATCCCACTTTGCTAAACATCTTGTAAATGCGATAGAGGCTACAGTTTTAAATGGGTTATTTTATTCAAATTTGGTGGTACGCATTGGGGTCATGATATGACATAGCCTATCAATACTCAGTGTTCCGTGACTTTCCGGTATGCCCCTTTGTCGAAACTTGTGAACTCGATAGGGGCTGCGTTTTTTCTTTTCAAGATTTTGTGGAAGCATTTGGGTCGATCTCAAACCTTGTTCTATATTTTGGTACACCCACCACCCAAGCTTTGACAAAAAAGTTATTAACGGATTCTTTTCAAATTTGGTGTAAAGCATTGTTACCATAAGAGGAGGAACCCTACCGATATTCAGCGTTCCGGAACCTTTCCATCTGGATATATCCCCCACCCCTTTTTTGCAAAAAAACCTGTAAACATAATATAGGTTACAGCTTTTAATGGATTCTTTTCACATTTTAACTGAAGAATTGTGGTCATTAGAGATGACTACCCATATCAATATTCAGCACACCCCCTCACCCCCTTTGTCGAAATTTGGTCAACATCCATGTTTTCCGCTTGGATAAGCTGGTGTCGAGGCGTTGTTAATGTATTTTACAATAACTTTAAAGTATTTGTTCTGTAATTTTTCTATTGAAGTTTCGAGTATTTTAGAGACGTATGCAACAGTCTTATTTTAGGAAACGTCATTGCAATTTGAAGATTTTTACTTTTTTATTTTATATTTCATATTTATTGCATGTTACACCATTTTAAGCATCTATAATATTCTCTTATTCATAATATTCTCTTTTTTTTGGGAAGTTTTAAAGCTTGATTTTTATTTGCAATATTATAAGAATTGTAATATTTGAATTAAGTGTGTGCTTTGAAACCTTTTATACATGTACTAATATTTCGATAAAGCGCGAGCTGACATTCGGCATTCCCCCTTATATTTCGGTAATTTCCAGCGTATTTGAATTTATAGTCGGGCATCATAAACGAAAGGGTTAACCCACAACCCAAGAGGGATTATATTCCATTAAGATTTGGGATAATATCGGAAAATCAAAGAAGAGGGGACGGAGAAGCTGTAGTGTCGGCAGATTTCTCGTAGCTCTCATTGCATACGTAACCATACAAACAACAAAATACATGTTGCTCTCAGTATTGCGATTACGGAAGATGGTCTGAAAGATGTTCAAAATCTTGTTAAAGGAACGTATTAAAATCAGTAGAAAATCGGTGTAACGGTAGTAAAATTGTGTAAAAAATATTTATAATTAAAGAATCTAGCTGGTTTCTTAAACTGTGGGATGATCGAAACTCAACAAACCAGAATAAATTGAGAACATAAAGATTATTTTAAAAAGATTTAAGAGTTGAGGATTATATTTGTGACATAAACAGGTCCCGATTTCAAAAAGACATTGTCAGACTTATGTTAAGAATTTACTCAAAATTGTTCGCCTTATTTTATTTAAAATATAGTCCTTTATGGAAACCTTTCTTGTTTCTCAAAGATATTTCACATAAACAGTAATTGAAAGTTGAGTAAATTCTTAATTTATAGAGACATTATGTAAGATGTATGTAAGTCCTCGCTATAACAGTTTTAAAAAGCGTTAATGAAAAGGGAATATGTTGGAAATTTCCGTCAAATTACTTCATTCTTCGCCGAGTTATCGCCGTTAGAAGAACAGTGTAGTCTCGATTGTTATCGTTGTTAAGATTATCCATTTGTAAATTAAATCATTACCTGTCATTCATATTTAAATCTGTTGAAAACCTCGAGGATCAGATGGCATCGAGAGTTGATTATGGTCTTGGCAAGTTATCATTGCCTAATTAATAATTTATATAACATTTAAGGTCTGAAGAAAGACTTGCAATAAGCAGATTTAGCTCTTGAATAATGTTTCTTTTAGTCTGAAAATGCTTTGTGAATCCAGGGCGAGATCTCAAAGAAGTGTAATTAGTAAACACAGATGCGTCATATTTCCTTTAGCAATAGAAACGGATCTCTATTGTAACCAGCCTACTATCCTCCTAAATAATTGTTTGTGTCCTTTGTGCTCATCATGTGTCGACAACGAAATCTATTTTTAATTGACTGTGAGTCTACACAGATATCCTGAACAAACTGTTTGTAAATATAATTCTTCAGAAGAAGGATTTTGAAGTATTTTAACTGTCAATAATAACATTATCCTTGCAAACTGTCTTTTAACACGTTAAGACCAGGAATAAGTTTTATTTTAATGTATTTTATTAATTATTGACGTTTTAATGAATTGATTTTAATAAGCAGTGATAAATGGGTCCATATAGTTCGGACACTGCTGTTATTTAATATAAATTTAAGATGTATGTATTTTATTGTATCCAATGTGTGACACGTTAATAAACAATTATTTACTTACTTATTGTGCTGACGAGACTTTAAAAAAAAAACATCCCATTCCCCCACCAGATGCTGTCGTGAATTATTAAAATAAAATCTATCCAAAAGTTAGCTAAAACAGGATACATTTTCTCAAAAGTATAATACAATTTGTTTCAATAATTCCATAATGAATAATGTAAAGGGGATTCAGTGAGGACATCTCATTTCTATAGATAGAAGTCGTTGTTCTACTGGACAAAGATAAACCTTGACGTCTTATTCACAATATATTGTAAATTATAGGGACTCTTGTAAAATAAATATTTTTTGACATGAAGAGAATTATCTTGTGTTGTTTATACGTTGTATTTCTACCTATGTGGAGACGATACATACTATTATGCATCACAATGCGTGTACATGCGAGCCATAAGTTTTGTAATTTAAAATAGCAGTATGTGTTCCTTAAATACTTGCTCGGGATTAACATTTATTTTCTACATGTTTGAAGATGATGTAAAGGTGTCTAACTATAATCCAATATCCACCTTTTTCATGCATGTCTAGCTTGTTGGTCTGAGTGGTTTTTAAGTATAGAAATTATAATATTAAATGGGATACTGTCAATCATACTATACAGGTATGGCAAGTTTATTGTGAACACCTTCTTTATTCCATTTATTTATTTAATGAAATATCGTGTCTATTTATTATATTATATTAATTTACTTCCTTGTTGCATTAAGCTTCTGTTATGCACATAAAATGCTAAGGATGTTGGTCAAGCTGGGAGTATTTTTTACTCTTGTTTCTACATTTTATTGTAAGTTGCTATTTCTATAATTTTTTTTATTGTCTAACAATTTCCAATCAGTGTTTTGTTGGATATGACCGTTGATACCTATAATAATTATTCTTCTGAAGCAATAACACTGATTGTGTCTTGGAGTAATAAATATTTATATACATGTACATAACTGTTACTAGAATCCTACAAAACATACAACTATTTCTGTATAACCTTTATTAAAAATTAACAATACATCCTGGTTGTGATTAATGCCAAATAATACCAAATGTTACACAAAAATAATACATTGATGGATATATAGAGATATGTATTTAAAACATACAGATAACCAGAAAGTACGAAATCTAATTAGCACTCATCTGCCCTAAAGTCCACGGGCAATTCTTACAAACATGTTTAGGTTACAGTGCAATTTATAATCTAGCAAACCAAACATTTAGATCAGTCTACATTGTAATTATTTAGAAAGATGACCCCCACTTTCATTATTTGAGTTGGTTTATAGATCCGTGGAAACTTACTTACATATTCTGAAATAAAATTTTAAATTTTCTACTTTATGTTTGAAATATTAAAGGTTCATTATGTTTACACAAACCTTTTAAATAACAGTTTTTTGTACATTTTCCCCGAGGCTACAAACTAGAAATGAATGGATACAGGTAAAACGCGTATATAAGGACTCGTTTAAAACCAATACGTTTACATTAATTATTCTTTAAAAATAGATTTTCGTTATTATTCGCTTGAGGACCACTAAATTTGTTGCATTCCTCAGAACGCCGGCGGAGTCAGTTATAGTTTATTTATTTTCAAATGACAATTTGTGAAATTTTAACTGTTTAAATTAAATAATTATTAAATCAGTATGTAGATACAATGTTCTTTCGGGTACATAAGATATACACATACAAGTCATTAACATTTTTGGGTGGCTTAATATGTGTGAAAACTCATAATAAACTCCGGAAACTCGAAGATTCGGGAGTGACAAAACAGTTTCGTGATATAGGCGGTTGATATAGAGTCATGGAATTTAAATAACAACTTGACATGTAGAAAATTACAGTTCAGATCTTAATTTATATGTCTCAAAGCTTCCTAATCGGTAGGCACGCACAAATACTGTATTTGAGGTTTTAAAAAAATTTAGTAAGGTTTCTGGGTTAGAATTTAACGCTACTAAAACTGAAGCGATCGATCTAAACAGTGGCGACGCACAACTACCTGATAATATTAAAGGTTTAGGCTTTATTTACCGTGAGAACTATATAAAAATATTAGGCATTACCTATTCACTAGACAAAAAAACTTCGGAAAAAATGAATTTTGAAAATTGTATAGACCAAATTGAAGATACTTTGAATACCTGGAAAAGACGAAACTTAAGTTTAATAGGGAAAATCCATATAATAAAAACATTCTGCGTATCTAAAATATTATACCCTGCATCAGTTAAAACTATACCTGAAAATGTAATTAAAGGCATTAATAAATTATTTTATAACTACATATGGAACGGGCCTGATAAACTAAAGAGAACAGTTATAAATCAAGATATAAATAAAGGGGGGCTAAATATGATTGACTTGAAAGAAATGATGATATGCCGTAGCGTATTCTGGATAAAAAAGATACTATCACACGATGTTCAATCATGGAAAATTCCGTACGCTTATATATTAAACGAGTATGACGGACAAATATTACCGGCATGTAATTATGCAACATCTTTTTTAAAATTATCTCCCTTCTATCAAAAACTTTTCAATAATTGGTTCCATATCTATACCTCAAAAATCGATATGTTAATAAGCCCTCAAAATCAAATCATCTGGAACAATAAGCATATAAAGATTAACAAAAAACCTTTAATAGATAAAGAATTGATGAATGATAATATTTTATTTTTGGTTGACTGTAGAGAAGACTTTTTAATCAATAGGATAATGAATAGTAATAAAATATTAAGAATGAAAAGCGTTTGCTTAGCAGTTAAAGAGTTTTTGGATACAATCGACTACGAACCTACGCCTATAGTAAGAAAACAAAGCGTGTTTGACATTATTAATAACAACTGTATAAATATATATAAAAAATCACTAGATAAGATTAAAGCAAAAGACATTTATTCAATACGAGTAGATTCTAAATATAGTAAACCATTAGCAATAAGTAAATGGGAAGAAGAGAATAGTTTTATATTTGAAGAACGTGAAACCTCATGTATATTCAATTTGGTCTATAAAACGAGCACTGATACTAGATTACAAAATTTTCAATTTAAATACCTCCATAAAATTATATATACAAACGACCGTTTATTTAAAATCCAATTAAAAGAGTCTTCATTGTGCGATTTTTGTTATTCAAATATAGAAACACCGGAACACCTTTTTATATACTGCAATTACGCCCAGGTAATACGGAATGATTTACATGAAATCTTCTCAACTAATGACATTTCATTACAATTACAACTTACGAACATTTATTTCGGTTTTCTGAAAGAAACAGTTTTTAAATCATATCGTGAATTCTTCTTTGTAAATCATTTAATATTTTTAACAATACTACCTCTACAAATCGAAAAGAGAAAATATCAGACCGACAATTATTAATTATCGAAACTACCTAAAAGGTAAACAACAGATAGAAAATGAATTAAACGAAACCTTAGTAAATAAATGGGATTATACCATATGAATATTATGCATACCTCTAGTATTCCAACTCCTTAATACCACTAGCTATTTTTGTATTTTTTTGTTTAGTTTTTAGCTTTTATTTTCTTTGTGAATATATTTGTTCTGCTCAATGTAATATAGTATAGCCTTCAACATTAAACCGACGCTATCTGTATGATGTTACACACTGTGATTGTAATATGTGAACTATGTACTATGCTGTTATTGATTATTTGAAATAAAGATTTTGAAAAAAAAACAAAAAAAAAACTGTATTGTATAGTACTCAAAGATATGTCAAATATTTAAATAGTAAACAAGACAATCATTTAAATAAATATGTAATACAAGACCAAATCCTATGAATACAAGGCAACGAATACAAAAGTGAAATGACATGATGAATTAATTTTTAAATCTTGAAATAGGTTAAATATAGAAATAGGGAATCAAATAGATAAGTAACTGGAGATTTTGCACTCGAATTCCATGAAAATGGATAGGAGTACTGAAATAAACGCGATGCAAAGTGTAATAGATACAAGTAAATCCACTAGAACTGGATCTTTTATTTATAGGACATCAGGAAAAATTTCGGGTATACTATCAAACCAAGCTGTTTTTAATTATGTGGCTTTAGGTAAACTTGATTAACATTCATTCCTTCGGTTTTTTTTTCAATTTGGTTTTATTTAGTTAACGAAAGGAGAATGGGTTCATGTCGGTGAACAAACAAAAGAGATCCCACCGTCAAGTTCAACAATTTTTAGTAATCATTTAGTCGCCTCAGAAAATATACCCCCGTGGTATCATGTATATTTTTTCTGAAATGTCAACCTGTGCTACGACTATTTAATCATAATAAATTCATATCTAAAAGAGACCAGGCTTTACTGATATTCCGTGTACCCTTGAGGAAAACGAGTGCCGTTCGTGTTCATTCATGATTAGTGGCAATCAATAAAATAAAATAAAATACATATCCACATCTACATTGGGCGAAAAATATACACTATCCAGGAAGTTCGACAGCATGGTAATGACAGCTTCAATAGAACATCGCCACCTTAAACTTTATGATTTAAAATTATCAGCGTGTGTCGGTTAAACCATGGTTAAACACTTGTTGCGGTGATAAAAAGTAACAATATTTACTTTCTACGGCTTTGAAGATGATGTGAAGTGACTTACTTATAATCAAACAATAACTTTTTCTGAGCTCGTATCTTCCTGGTAACAGTGGTTTTCATGACTTCCCCTTAAAGTAATTATAATATCAAATGGAACACTATTCTCCGTATATACTTGGTTGGCTATACAGTTATGTCAGGTTTATTGTAAATCTTTTATGTATTCAATTTATTTAGTTGTTTAATAAAATATATTCTTACAAAATTCCATGACGTTAATTTACTTCCCCGTTGAGTTAAGCTTCTTTTATTCACATTAACCCGAGAGGATGTTGGTCAAGTTCGGATTAGTTTTTACTCTGATTTCTACAATTTATTGTAAGTTGCTTTTTTCAATTTCATTTTTATTGGAAAACGAGGGGACAAAACATAAATAGATTTGTAAATTATGTTTTTAATTGTAACAGTTAGGGAAAGGTCATTCTAAGAGTGATAAAATAATACAAGACATACGGAGCTAAAAGGGTATTTACCAGAATATTGTATTCCATTCTACTTTCAAAGGAAAACAAAACTACTATTTGTTTTATTGAGACAGCTTTATGTGCTTTATGTACAACAATTTGTGAAAATCTTCAGCCTCTTTCCTTTAATTCAATAACTTACAGATAAAAAATATAGATATGACATAACAT